TCAGTATCACAGACCATGTCAATGTATCCCTGGCATGGCTCCACGACCAATGCCGCCGCCGCCTCTTCTGGACCTCGCATCGACTCCCCCTCCTCCACTACTCAATCCTCCCTACAAGTGCCTGGGTTACGATGGCTCCCGTCTATGATATCGCGCGCAACACCTCTTCCCACCTTGTCGTCTTCCAATCTTCGTATAGCCCAGCAACAACAGCAACAGCAGCAACAACAGCACCCATCGCCGCAGCCTTCTCAAACACCACCGCAGCCGCAGCCGCAAACTGCCCTCTCCCATCCTCATACCCATTCTCATCCACACAATCACCAACCAGCACGCCCGCAAACGCGCCAACCTGGACCAGCTATTATCGATTCGCGATCACAACAACCACTGACTGAGACCCTTGAAAGCGAAGCAAGTGACAATACGGATCCCGGTGCGCGCGACCCCACCCACGCCGACGCTCTCGCAGATCCCGATTACGGCACATCTCCCGATAATCTAGCTCAGGGAACGAATATTTCCCGACAGTCCGCACATAGACCTACGACTACCGCCGGGGTTATGCCTAACGGCACCGCGGCTAATCGAGCCGCACTCCATGCAGCAGCAGCCAGTGTCGTTAGACCCTATCCAATGGAAGACCATGACGACGATCCCGATGGCGCGCCAAACGGCGATCGGTCGCGCAAGCATGGAAAACGATTGACCACCCTTGAAGAAGTCTCGTTGTTCAACATCTGCAACCGGCATGCGAGCGAATTCGGACAGCGCAGTAATCTCTGTAAATGGTGGATGACTGTTACAGAAGAGTTCACCCAGGACCAGGGACACCCATACTCGTGGCATTCGGTGCGCCGTAAAGTGGAGTTGGTTACAAAACAGCGTATGAAGTTCCTCGACGAGCAGCGCGACAAGGGTGTGGACGCGAGCGAAGACCTATCGAATCCCCGGTGGCGGGCAGCAGTGGACGCCTGGATTCCTACATGGCGGAGGTGGGAGGACGCAGAGGCACGGCGGATCGAGAAGCGCGATTCGCGCAAACCGAGGAAGAGGAAAGACCGGCCATGGGATACATGGACTATGAGTCCCAGTGACGAGTGGAAGGGCACAGCAAGCCCGCTTCCTACTGTCAGCCAGCACCAACCTGGACCTGTGACTCCTGTTTCGCAGAGCACAGTGCGACTACCCCCAGGGTTCGATAGTATGTTTTCGAATCAAGGACTACAGACCCCATCTCCGGCGATTAGTGTGCCGGATGGGCTTGCGACACAACAGCGGGAAACGCCTTCCACCACTCCAGCAGCAGCAACAACAACAAACAATCGGCCATCAGGGACGGATAATTCTATGATGAGCGCTATGCTGGAGACACTGGGAAAACTGAATCGTCACCTCGACTCGGTCAATACCCAACCTACCTCATCTGCGCCCAAGAAACCGACGTCACCCTCCAGATCCCGTGCTCGCGAACAGCGCCAGGACGCTCAACCAGCGGAACTCAACACGGCTACACATGATCCCCCTCCTGCGTCCGTCGCACAAACCGGACTCACGCACCTGTCATCCGACTTCATCAACAAACTTAAAGATGAACTCCGACAGGAAATGCGCGCTGAAGTGCGTGCCGAGCTAGAAAAAGATCGAGCTACACTTGAAGAGAAACTGGACTCGGTGCAGCGGACGCAGGAAATGATCCTTGAGATGTTGAGACAGGAGCCTGCTTGACAAATCGCTTTTTCTTCCTCCCTCATTTTCATTTTCTCATTTTCTCTCTCATACTCACTATCTCCTCTTGCTTTCTGTTTAAATATTCGTGCGTCCTCTTTTTTTTTACCAGATGATACCCATGGACGAGTATGTCGACTATCTTATATTCTATCTCTTTCTATTAGCTTTCTTTTCTTTTCCTATACTCTTTGACTGCTGCAGTACGGATATGTGACTTGACTGAGTGACTGACTGCTGGCAACATCCTTTCTCTTCTCATTTCATATTTCCATTATTTCCATTTTCATATATTCACTATGACCTTTCGGGGAAACAATACATATATAACTAACTTACCTATACTTTCACTACACTCAAGTTCCATATGTGTAAGAAGTAGTGTTCACTCGACACTATCGACAGACATCTAAGCTATCCCCAGAGGCATTACCTTCTAACTTAATGCTTTACAGGTATAGACATACTAGCTAGTAGAAGAGGACCTGAAACTTCAAGATATCGAAAGCTTGGAGTAATGCAAAAAATATAAATAAAAACAGAAAAATTTCCCGGGCTAAATTACATAGTAAACATATCCATGGTATGGATGCCTTTGCGTAGTAAGTAAGTAGTAGGTAGGAGCCTGCCAAATCCCAAATGGTCTGGTTGCGTGATGTGCGTGTGCGTGCGCGGTCTAAACTTTTGTGTTTTCAAACAGAGAGAAAAAACAAAAGGATGACCTCTTTCCTTCACTTGCTCCTCCTTTCTTCTTCTTTTCTTTTTTTTTTCTCTCTTTGTCATCATCATCCAGAGTTCTTGCCAACTGAAGGTTCATTTCTTCACACTGGAAAATAGGGAGCCTTGTGTTTTTAAAGAAACATATCTAGATTTGGATTGGAGTGGTTATGGGTATATCTAGTAGTAGAAGGTCTCGTCGACAGTGCGACCACGCATCCACTTGGGCTCGGAGCCACGGACGTAGATGTCCTCGAAGAGAATGCGGGGGGTGTTGTCGGGAAGGGGCATCTTCTCGGCGATGGCGACCTCCTCGTCGACGTGGGCACGAGCGGCCTTGTCGAGGGACTTGAGCTCGTCCTCGGAGCAGACGTTCCAGTCAAGGATCTTCTGCTTGAGACCAGCGATGGGGTCGTTGGTGCTGCGCATGCGCTGGATCTCCTCACGGCTACGGTAGGTGGTACCGGGGTCGGACATGGAGTGACCACCGTAACGGTAGGTGACGTACTCGTAGACCAGGGGGCCGTTGCCGGCCACGGCCCAGTCCTTTCCGTACTTGACGGCGGCCTTGGTGGCCAGGACGTCCATGCCGTTAACCTTGATACCAGGGATGTACTGACCACGCTTGTAGTACTCGGTCAAGGCGGAGGAACGAGCGGCGGAGGTACCCATACCGTACTTGTTGTCTAGCAGAAGATTGTTAGCTATGCCTGTCATGGAAGACAATGGCGGAGGAGTGAAGTTGACTTACTCTCACAACCGAACAGAACGGGGAGGTTCCACAGCTTGGCCATGTTGAAGGCCTCGAAGACCTGACCCTGGTTGGAGGCGCCGTCACCGTAGAGGACGATGGAGGTGGTGGGCTCCTCGTTGTACTGCTGGGCGAAAGCGAGACCAGCACCGACGGGGACCTGAGCACCGACGATACCGTTACCACCGTAGAAATTGGGGGCGAACATGTGCATGGAACCACCCTTTCCGTAGGCGATACCCTCACGGCGACCGAGCAGCTCACCGATGATGGAGCGGACGGTACCACCACGCATCATGGCGAAACCGTGGCAACGGTAGGCAGTGATGACCTTGTCGTCGCGGGTGATAGCGTGCTCGATACCGGTGGCGACGGCTTCCTGACCGGTAGACAAGTGGCAGAAACCTCTGATCTTCTTCTCCTTGTAAAGACGGTCGGCGGCCATCTCCATACGTCTGAGCGATAGATTAGATTCTGCATGAGGCTTGTGGAAAAAAGCAAAGGGCCTAACGGCGGCCATACCTCATCGAAACCATGTCGTAGTACATCTGCTTGAGCTCCTTCTTGGTGATCTCCAGGGTGTACGGGGGAGGGTCGATCTCGTAGGTCTCGAAGCTCTCGTCGGAGAGGCGGACAGTGAAGGGCTTGTCATCCTCCTATAGACAGATGATAATCGCATTAGTTGAGGCCATTGCGGAGGTCAACCCGGGATATCCAGGGAGCTCTCAACGAACCTGGGGGACATTTTCAGCATGCGACGAAGCGGCGTCGGTGGTGACGGAGCGACGAGCAAGAGGAGTGAGGGCCTGACGCCTCAAGGGCGCGGACTGACGGACCGCAGCGCGGAACAACATGATGGACGAGAGGGAGGGTCCAACCGGGGAGGGTATAGAGGAGCTGGAGGAGAGGAAGGGAGATTCTGTTATCTTCAACTTCCTCAACGGAGATGTTGGGAACAAACTTTCCCCTGCGGCTAGGCGGAATTCGGCAGGCGGCTTATCTAAGCCCGCTTCCCTTCCCTTCGGGGCCGTCCGGTGTAGGGCCCCTGCAAACCACACAAACACCTGTTCTTTTCACGCCTGCTGCTTCTTTTATTCTTCTACTGGCCTCAATTCACTCATTCCTTTAATTCTCTCTCTCTGCTACTGCTATCAATCCACAGGCTCATCTTTCTTCCATCAACTGAGCTTGTCAATTGCGCCATTGAGCTCGTTACGGCGAACGGGCCCCTCTGATCGCCATGGCCAACCAACCACATCACTCCTTCGCTGTTTATCGGACCTTTGTTCACCCGATCACTGGCCAGACCGACTCTTAGCCTAAGGCAGTACTGGGTTCCGTGTCTTTCCGAGCCTGTCTCAGCATTGATTCAACAAAGGCGGTCACGTCCTCACAGATAGTATGGCGACATGCGTGAGAGCATGTTAATATGTGCACCATATCATTACTGTCCCGACTTGGAATCAGCGTTTTCCGGTTCAGCAGAAGTGGTCGCTATTGCATCAGCAAATGACCACCGGCAGTTATAACCTTCCATCAAGCTCATGCGGACAAAAGTCCGAACACATGGTTTCCGAGCTAGGATTTATATCCGATAAGCGTAGCAGCTCACCGCGTCTATCTCTTGATTCTGCCCTCCAAATGCAAATGTGGGTGAGACGAAGCCTTTAACTGAGTTCGGCTCTCCAGACAGCCTTGGCTCAGACAGCTTCGCCTATCCTACAATACCTGAAACAGACGCCGCATGCCTTGCATACATTCTGGCCCCATGCATACGGGTCTGTCAAAGCCACCTTCACTACGACTACACTATGGCGGTGTTAGTTGGGGCCAGAAATAGAAGACATTTATAAGTTGGTATACTTACAATACGAATTTTGTAAGACCCAGCTTGGGGCCAGTTCGTTGCGCCACGTGCTGCTCAGCCATGTGCGACGGGCCAGCAATCTGCATGACAGGCTGACACGATGGCTGATAGCCAACAACAATGGCCGACTACCCAACAGATATACGCGCAAGGATTCCAATCCTCTAGGATACCCATCTGCATGAACGCTTGCGAGATCTGGCCCACGATAGGGATACTGCGGGAGCTTTGCATTGCCAGGGTAATCCCGCGATAGCCGATGTCCTAGCATATACGCGATTGGTGAGAATTTAGCACACGGAGGGAGCTGGTCAGGCTTGGGACTGATGTCATACAACCTGAGTCGAGCCCAGCAGAGATATAGGATCTGGATCTGATTCGACTGCTCTGTTGCGCGGAACGAGACAATCATGGTAGAACCCACTGTAGCGAAGCATTAACGGCCCAAGACCTCCGATCGTTGTGGGTTCGATTGCATTGTCGAGAAGACATATGCGACTGCCTAGCTTCCAGCAATGGAACGTAAAGAAGCAGAGAGTGGTAAATGCGCCCCAACCGAGGGTGTATACATGTAACATGTTCTGCGTAGCGTCAGCATCAGTATCCAGCCATGGGGCGAAAGTGTCATCATCCGTCGGCAGAGGACAGGAATGCTAGCACACCGCAGAAGGAAGTCTGACAGACACGACACTGAATCCTAAGAGGCAGTGCTGATGTATATACTACTTCACACATATATCCCATTAACGGTGAGCACGACATCAGCCCATGACGCAGCCATAGATGTAGATCGATTCTCAAATCCGAGCATCAAAGGAATAGACGGAGCAACTCAGCCCAAGACGGGAGCGACCCCCTTGCGAAACGTGGCAAGAGAAAGTGGATAAGCTGAAGGTGACCCAAATTAAGAAACTATATTACTTTACGCACGGAGATGGTTCGTCACGGGGGCTAGAAAATGGAATTCCAGCGGACCATCCTTTTCCATCGGCGCTAGTTGCTTTCCTGTGTAACCGGTTAGTACGTAAAATACTACTCACTATTCCAGAGGGAAGGAAGAACGAGCTATTCTCAATTTCTCAGAATCACGGAGAGCAAGGCGTAGCAGGGCTGGTTGCATACACGGGAAAATTGCGGATATATTTGGGGGCTAATTCCGTCCAATTACTTTATGATTGTTCAACCCGGAATTCCAGATTTTGGGTCAGCGGGTGAGATGGATGCAGATGTGTAGATCATGGCCTGTGTGTGTGTGTGTGTGGCCTTGACCCCAACTGGAGCGGTGTTGGGAGAGTTACCTACAGCCAGTAGCAATGTAACATTCTTACATTACCAGGATGATAGATTACTTGCAATTTGTAATTTTTGAACTTGCTTTTCGATTTCATTTCCACACTCCGAATGGGAGGGCAAAAAACTAAAACCCCATTAACTAGTAGCATTGAGCTGGAGAAAACAGAAGAGGAAAAAAAAGGACATACTGCCTTTTCTGGACTGCTGTCCGACGATAGTTTTTCTCCCTCTGACTCGGATACCAAACCCTAATGGCATTCTGGGGTGTTCTAGAAAACCAGAGGCTATTTTCCCATTTGTCGTGTTCTGGGAGCTGTGAACTTTGTTCGTTATAGTGGGGTGTTTGTTTCTCTTGATAAAGTTTGGTTAGCGGGTTGAAAATGGGCTTGGTAAAGTATGTTACAATGGCGTTGTTAATACCTATGAATGAATGGTTGGTTTTTTGGTATTGGTGAAGTAATACCACGTAGCGAAAGTGGCATGTTTTTTTCTTTCATTGTTTATGGGTTTGGGTGACACAAGTTCACTTAAGCCTTGGAGGATTTGTAATTCGCATTGCACGACATAGTCGATAGTTATTGCAGGTATTATTGCATGCATGGTGGTGTTGGTGTCACACTATGTCCTGCATGGCCTGGGTCTTTTGTGTACCATGCGGGGAGGGGCATAGTCGGCTACTATTGCCCTGGGAAGAAGGGAATGAAATGAAGCCGTTTCTAGTGAGCCAAGGAAATTAATATTCTTAATTAGAAGTTGTAATACGTAGTAGTAACAGGGATTTGCGTATGGATATAGCCCAGGATAATTATCGGAGACTGCGGGGTCAGTTCCAACCTGACCGTGGCCTAGATCTGTAGACTACCATCATAGTATCCTCCAATCCTATGGAGCCCACGGGGCATAGGGCCTCTTCAAAGAGTTTTGTTAGGCTAAGTTGAACCTTACTTGGTCTTGTCATCAGTCAATGTTACATTGTCACAAGTCAAATTCTCCCTATTACCTAAGACATAGACTTAGCGTGCCCAGCCTTCATCGATGCCAATAGTGCGAATGATGAAAATAGTCTACAATGCCGTAGTTAAGCAGGCATCATTGAACGAGCTCTACTAATGGACATCTTGAAAGTTGACATAATATGGCATCCCTATATCGCATGGAACCCCTCATATATCATCAACATCGCTGCCCTTCACAGCCCCGGCCTGTACCACAACACTGATACTTTGCTCACTCCTCCAAAGCAATGCACACGTGCATTTGGCCGCTTAGTGCCCCTTATTCCCTACATAAATCACCTACATAGGTGCACAGCATATTGTGGGTCAGACTGGCACATCTATTCCTTACGACCCGGAACAAAATTGCGGACATTATCTCGCACCAGCGGACCATTATGCGAGAAAATGGTGCAACATGTTGAATCAGAGCGGGAAGGGATCATCTACATGGTATGATCTACTGAAACACGTCCAGCTCGCTGAAACTGCTGCGTAATGAGCTTGGACGCAGAAAACTGCGCGGTTTTGTCCCAGAGGCTTCAGGCTTGACATAGTATTGTACTTAGTATCAAGGGTATCGATTCTCGAGAGAATGTGAGTTAATTGATCGAGAAACGATAAGAGGTTTTGCCAAGTGAATATGATATCAAAGAAATGAGGGGTCGGGGTTGAGGTTGGCATAGTGAGAATGAGGGCTCTGCTGAGACATAAAGCTGTGTTGTGGGTGAGGTGCTTTCTTTCTTACTCTATAGTATGACACAATTGTCTATGCTCACTAAAATAACTCTTAAATTATTCCGTTTATGTGTACTAGGAAGCACGGTGGAGGATTAAGTAAATAAGAAGGTCATTGCAGAAATTCATACTGTTCATGGTCATGACGGGACTACCTGCCGCGGAATATCGATCCATTGTTTGATCTGACATCCTGCTGTAACCTTGTACTATTAATGCGAAAGTCTTTCTACTCAGTTAGTCAGATCGACAATCACAGATTTTAGTAAGTAACTACAGTGTCCGCAGATATCTAGATGAATTAGATCTGTGACAGCATCGGCCACTCCGAGGCTGTAGTAGCACCATTATGGTATTGTCCTCTTGAGGGTTTCAAAGTTGATGCAGATCAGTTTAGTATAACTTGTACCTAGTAAAAAAACATCTATGTTACAGATCTTGAAAAATTTCCCGGATATCTAATGGTCTGGCAACTGTGTCCAGAACTACGATAGTGCATGTGCCATTTTCAACTTCCACACCGTCTACAGCTACAAACTCTCCATTCCCAAATCGAAAGAACCCATGAGCCAAAAAAAATAATAACATCGTAGCTAGACAGCGTAATACACAGCCATCCCAATAACGACACCGAAATCTACAAAAAGTAAACAATCCCACAAACCGCAACCAAAGTAAGTGCTGACCGAACATCCTTAAAGAACATACGATAACTACCCAGATAAACCGCTCATGATCGACACCTGACAGCAACCACCTAACCCATTCAAGTCATCTCTGCGACTAAAGTACTTACTCCGCGAAATCTCCTCCCTCAGTGACCACAGCGCCGCTCACCTAAACGGAAAGCGGGCCCGAATACTATGGGTACTAACCACCCAACCCCAACATCTATCAAAGTAAACTTCGAGTCTAACAACTTAGTCCGACAACTCGAGTCTCGAAAAACCAGAATCATCCGTTAGTAATGACGTACGTACTTTCGTCCTATCTAAGTATGTTACATATTTTCTTTCTCTCTCCCGTGTCCCTTTTTTTACGACAGCCCGCACAGTGGGGATGGGTTTATATCCAGTCCCGCTGACAAAGACAGGGATCATGGCAATGAAGGTATTTTGATTGGTGTTTGAGAAATCTAGAATCAATATTAGGGTTTGATGAATCCGCCAATCAATGCTTGGAATTGGCACTTTCAGACATGTCCGTATGTAGGTAGGTAGGTCGTCGGGTCCCTACGGGGTACTCCGAAATGCACGGCAAGGTTATAGTAGTAGTAGTAGTAGTAGTAGTAGTAGTAGTAGTCTACCTACCTAATCTTGTGCTCGAACCATGGTAGGCCAGCGACAATCCCGATCCTGGATTATCAAACGCCGGAGGAATCGACTTATCTACGGAAGATCGTCGGGGAATCTACTTGCTTAGTTTTTTAGTGACAAGTTAACTATAGTTATAGTTTACAGTATGGGGGAAACTCTGGAGGGGAAGGCAAAGTACCTTGCGTCAAAAAGATGGACTGTGCGGGAGTGTCAATGCTGCATTGGATACTATCTATGTCGGGAGCCGAAGTCGGGGTAAGACGAGTCAGTGAGTAGCAGTAGGTGTCGGGACTCGGGAGCATTCCGGGAAATGCGAAGCAGGAGCAGCAGTAGCAGGAGCTGAAAAATGAAGCGTCCGTGCAGGGAGTGGCTACTGTATGCAGGTTTAATTGATTGAAGGAATGCAGGTCATTGGACATATGCAGAAATTGAGGACAAGAGAAAAAAGAAAAGTAGGAAATTTGCCTTGTAAGTGGCGCTGCTGGGCAGAGGGGGAGTTTTACATATCATAAACTTAGGGCACATCGGTCATGACAAGTCGCATCAATTCCAAGGAATGAATGCACTGCTCTACAGTAGATTCTACTGTGTTCATCTGTGCGTCTAGTTAATTTCGTGTTGCCTGACAATTAGGACGGAGGTGATCAGACCACACCTAAAAGCAAATCCCGCAGGTGCCTGCATCGATGGGAGTGAATCGGTACTTTGTGTGTGTTTGAAACATCGAGTGTCATTTGGCCAACCTGACCATAAGGGGAAGGAGGCTTGGATGGCATGGTGAACCTAGTCAAGTAGTTGCTAAGTTCTGCCCCAAAGTTGGATATTGCAGGGGTGGTTTCACGATTGTTTCAGGGGAAGTATTCTATAACAAGAATACTATTACTGCCCGCCCCCAGCATTTCTGTATTCTTCATACAGTGAACTAGTTAGTCTAGCTCCAATTACCGACTGCTTAGGGGCCGAAAGGAACCAGAATAAAAAGGAGCTAATAGACACCGTCAAGTCTTGGTGCGAGTGGTATTTTATCTCAGATATTGCAATGTGTCGGGATTACTCTTTCCAGCATGGTTGCGCCCGTAGTCATGACCCGAACTACGCCGGATAGAGTAGCGGATAATACTCCGTATTAACTATCAATTTGCAGAAAACGTCAGTCTAGATTAACCCAATACAACATGTACCAAAGCAGTTCTTTGTCCGACTGGTCCATTAACCAAGATTTGACCCTGGCCGTTGAAGTCATAAGGCGGATATTTGACCTGTCCAGCGCCATGATGGGGTAGGGTCAGGATAATAATCTAGGGGCTTTGGGCACTGGCAGGTGAGGGCGTCTCTCATCACCGACTCAAGACCCGTGCATGATTATGGGGCCAATGCACTCTTCTGCATATCATTGCGATAGTTCCTGAAAACTAGTGAGTAATGTTGGGGTCTTGTTGGGTAGTTATGTGATCTTGCATCATTATATTCATTGCTGAGGTAACACAGATGCGGGTAGTCATATTCAACTGCTAATTGTGGCCGGATCGTCCTCCGATCTGTAGGTACCATGTAAGTAAATATTATTCCACTGTGCGCATGCGAACTGTGCCGTCATCTGAATCTGACAGCGCCCAAGATTGATTGTTGTGGAACGTGATCGCGATTTGGTTGGCTCAGCTTTGCTTGCCTTCTTGCCACGGTTCGCGGTTCCACGGTTGAGAAGAATAATGGAAAAGGCGAAGAAAATGGGCGATGTATCTAAGTGTCGAGGGACCGACCATGGTATGGAGTTGATTAAACAGCCAATCGGATGAAAGACTGGCAGTTAACTCAGTTTTGAGGCAAAGAGCTTTAGAAATGATGATGGTGCACGATGCGCTTAGTATGGCGTACTAAGCCCACATACCGAGGTTGCCTCCGTGGTGGAAGCCCGTCTCTAGGTATCTAGTGTGTCATTTTGACTATTTGGTCGGTAGGGACTAGTAGGATAATATTGCCACATCGACAAACGTATCGACTTTGGCCTTGGAGGCAACTTCGGAAATGGCAGCCGTGTTCAGAAGAGAAAGATACCCGTCAAGAAGCCAGATCGCCCACGTCTAAACCCCCAGTTGGTGACTGAGGTTGTGCCGGGCAATCCCCAGAAAAGCCTTATGCTCCTTAGCCTGGACCAGAGAATCCTCTATTACGGCGCGAACCCTAGGCTGATCATCCGTCGTCATAAAATAGAGTTGCAGAGGGTAAGAGTCAGCGTGTTGCTTTTTCCGTTGTGATTACCTTGGATCTTGCTGACTGGGGGCTGAATCCTTGGGTCCGGTTCAATAGTCTCATCGATTTCAATTGTAAGCTACAGAGGGTCGGGGAGGCCTCACTAGGGACGGGGGCACAACAGTTAGCACAATGCTCTAAAAAGCATTCCATAGCTGTGCAAGGCAGTGGCAACACAGTCTGCACTAGCGGGCAACCTCTTTCTCTACCTAGTACGGACTAGGTATATTGCGACTGTCCGGTGTTGTGTAATATAGAGTTTTGGCAACATGGTATTATCCAATTTGATGATACGGGAAGGGACGAGACGATGTAACTCTGGGTGTTTGGTTACCATACTCCGTACCGAACCTGCGAGTTCCGATCGGGCGCAAGTGGGGAGAACCGCCACCAGCACCACGGTTCCTCCACAGCACATATTTTTGGACTTCAGCGCGCACCTTCCCTCAGGCAGCCAGCACGATGGTCGGTCATATTGATGATCATCATTCAGAAGAATCCCCGCTTGGTGGCCACTGGCGCATAAGTGGATGGAAAAATATGAGAGGACGTGCTGCTTCATTGTCCGTGTGGTGCGCTCTCCGTTACCTCCGTTTCTCCGGAGCAAAAATGGACCAGGTTTGTAATAAGCCCAAGGCGACTCAATGCTCTCAATAGCGATTGTGACCAAGTGGACTAACCCCCAAGCGAGTATAGTGCCGTCCCAGGGAACGCTGGAAGGGGAAGGGAGCGACCCGCCCAGACAAACTAACCTTTCGGGTGGAAATCTTCCACGGTGGGGATCCCGTTGATATGCAGCTGTACCGCTTGCCGCTTACGTATCCGGTTGAGACTCACTTCTCTACTGGATAAAGGGGAATAACAACACCGACCTAGAAGCTCAGGAGAAACATGCCAACCGGACTTTCCGCTTGCTCTTAGCCTACAGCGCTTGGATGGGACTCGATTTGCTTCCTCGTCATGACAGCAAACGTTCGAGGATCGACGGTCCAGTACCGAGATTAAGGCCAATCGTTGCTGAATTGTGCAAAAGCACCAGCCTATCGGGATACCACTACCGGGTCCAACGAGGATCGCTATATATGAGTATCAATAGACACCACCCCGATGTGTATTTTTTTCGCTGCTGATGGTCACTCCATGAGGGGCGTAATCCACTCAGACACCGTTCATTATACATAGCTGACAGGCAGCCTTCAATAATCGACAGTGGATATTGGAGCCTGCAGAATCCAAAGCCTCAGTGTGGCTAGGCTGATAGTGATGGTGATGGTAATGATGAAAAGAAATCTCCGATAATTGGCAGCAGATTGATGCAAAAGATAGGTCCAAGTTCCGTGTAGGGCATTAGCACTGAAGCATTTGACTGGACGGACCATTTTACCTGGGGATGCAAGGGATGGGAAAATGACGGGTCTCCGGGTGATTCAGACTGGAGTTAATAGTTAAGATATCTGTTGGATAGTTGATGCAACTTTAACCTGGAGAATTCTCAGCTCATATCTGACTACATCGTGCAGCCACGATGACCTCACGCCTTCCTAACCGGGTGATTTCTATACCATATTTGCTCGCATTCTCTGAAACGTTAGTCCGAGGGGGTTAAGTATTTCCAGCATTTCAGGGGTAGTTACTCAGATACCGTAGGTTTACCCGTACCGAGAGTCCGTCCTTTTGAGACTTGAATGTATCCAGTCCCTGGATCGGCCCCACTGCGTGGTTTAGTGAGCTCCAGACATCCATGGCTCGGCGGTCATGGCCCCACTAGAGACCAGTATTCTCCAATTCACAAAATACGCCGATGGCTTTTCCTGTCAATACCGTTCCGAAAGAATTACCCCATTTGAAAGGAGAGTACAGGTCATGGGAGTATTTTACACTCGATATAAACCAGGATGAAAATGATTATATCTGGTATGTGTTGTGTATGTTGTGCGAGTAGTCTTTCATAATGGTGTTTGCTAAGTGGCAGTGGAGATAAACCATGGTTACTCAGTAGGTAACAACGGATACTAAATACTACAAAATGATTAGTACACAAAAAAAAAAGGTAAAGGTAGTATTACCATTTCTCGTAATACTGATCGCTCCGCCCCAGCGACTATCAACGGCTTCGCTGAACCGGCTCGGACGCCGTCGTAAAATTGTTCGCACCAGTGCGATATCTCCATCTTTTCCTGTTCCGCCTTCTCCTTTCCCTCTCCTCTCCCAGATTCTCGTCATCTTCACACACACCCTTCCCTCCCTTTCGCTCCCTCCTCCTTCCCAGTCTCACGCGTGGCCAACCAACCTTTTTGTTGGATGATTCTCACTGCAGCCACTCATCTTCCTCCACCCTTGGTCAATCTCATCCATCCTCGGGGCGTTTCCCTCAGGTTCAACCCCCACTACGTCTTGACCCCCCCCCCCCCCCACTTGGCACCCCTAAGTAGTAAATCTCTCTGCTTGTTTTCTTCAAAAGTTCCCAAAACCTCCTCCTTCCTGATCCTGTTGTCCTCCTGATCCGTCAGGAGCTTCTTTTGCCGTGATCCATGTGGAAACATCGGCCCTCTCCCAGATCGGATTACACGTCTGGGAATGACGATTCTTCTGGCCCTCACACATCCGAGCGTGGCAGCAGTGCTCGTCCTAAAAAGAAGTCTCCGCTCCGTAAGTATAGTGTCTCGTACTAGTGTTACTCTTGATTCTTCTTAACTTTCGGCTGCTGAATCTTATATTATTATTATTGTCCTTCTTATTCTGGTTATCATTTACACTTTTTTGCCCTTTTCTTTCTGTTTCTTCTGGTTGCTGTCTGCCCATCCACTCTCCTTTTCCCTCCTTATCTCTCTTTCTTCTACTGTCTCTCCTCTCTTTTGCTGGAGCTGCCCCCCCGTTCGTTTCCTTCTTGAGCTCTCAGGACTTTTTTTTGTCCCTTGTCCATTACAGTTCATTCATTGCTATACCCTCCTTGGGGTCAGCACGTGAATTAGAACGTTGACTCATTTCTCCAACCTTCTACACTGGTGTTATGTGAGACGACTGCATTGCTTTGCCTTTGCTGTCGTCCGTCCTGGCTTCTGCTATTCACCTGGCCTCCCATCTCACTTCATCACCACTGACCGTGACAAATCCAATATATTGGCAGACTTCTTCTCTAATTCCAAATCTCGTTCGCCACCTCCTCCACCCCGAACCTTCACCTATATACCACTAGAGCGCCCTGGAACAGGCTACTCTGCTCAAACTGCCCGGTCTCGCGCCCCCTCTACCACAGCCAACTCCGTCTATTCCAGCCAACAAGACCCCGGCTGGCCGTCTGATTCCCACAACTCGTCGCGCGTGTCCTTCAACTCCAGGTCAGGCAGGCCAATGGCGGGCTTAATGGATGTTGACCGCACTCGGACGCGGAGAGACAGAACGTTCGTCGGCACTGAGTGCGCTATCTGCGACGAGCCACTGGAACATACCTTGCGCGGTGAACGTGTTCTCCAATTCTCCTGCACTCATGTCTCACATGAAGCCTGCTTCTACGAATATATTCGCGAATTCGAGGGCCAGTACTGCCCAACATGCGATGCGCCGTTAGGGCTTGATACGAGCCGTGGGGGAAATATGCTGGATCTCGGTAGGTCTTCTCTCCCTTGCAGGGATCGGAATAACGGTTGTGCTGATCATTACCGCATACAGAGAAGCTCAGCAATATTGTCCGCTCTGTGACTAGTGACGCTGCGACTCATCGAAGTGGCATGTCTAATCTTCCTCCCTGGGAACCTGTTCCAGCTCAAGCACGGCGGCTCAGTGATGCTGGAAGTCATGCAGGAAGCCGGCCTCATAACCGTGACAGTCGGGATACTTACGTCAGACGCGACAGCCGCGACAATAGCAGCCACCGCGAACGGGTCGAACGTCTGACTATGGGATCCCGCCAACATCACTCGCGGAACGGAAGTGTTGCTGGTTCATCGGAATATAATGAGTCGCATCAGCATGTCGCCAATGGAAGACGCCATGATTACGACGTGCAAGCTATGGAGTCTGACCTCAGCCCCCGTCCCGCTGTCACGAAGAATCCCATCCCGGCGCCAACGGTGACAATCCGCAGCGAGTTCCCGACGCTTAATCGCTCACGCCAGCAGCAGTCTTTGACGTGTCTGATAACGGTGGAAGTGCCTGAGGGCAGCTGGCAGCCCGATGCAAGCGACCTAACTGCGAATGGCAAAGACCAGCCCCAAGACGAACCTTACGGCGCAATGCGTTTTCCCCCAAACCAGGAGCCGAAACCAGTTCCTTATGAAAGCCAGGAGAACCTGGACGATCTGGCAGAGGACCTGCGGAACAAGGTGGACAATTGGCACGGCCTGGAATTCAACCGGTAAGTGACTCAACTTGGCCGTTACAAAATTGCAACGCTGACGGAAACTCAGATTCGGAAAGCTCCGCTTGCACGGCCACATGAGTGTGGGGAAAGACCGTACCTCCTGGCAGGAACTGGAATGTTATCTCTTCGGAGAAATGCTCATCTGCGTCAAGGAGAAGAAGAACACCCAGCGCCGTCCCTATGACGATGAACAGTCCAAGCCGAAGCCAACCCGGTGCACCTTGAAGGGTTCCATTCTCATCAAGAAGCACCTGAACAGCATGGAGGCTGCCGCAGACGAGCCTATCCTTGCACTGAACCTGTCTGTCAGTGAGCTTCCCTGCTTTTACCTTCGTTTCCCGAACCGCAATCAGTTAGAACTCTGGCGCCGTTCCCTTCTCGACCTTCATCCCATTGAGAGCACGTCTCCAAACAATGATTACGACTATGATAATTCTGGCGCAGAGGAGGAGGAATACCGGAACAACCCAATTAAACGCCAGGCCTCGATCAACTCGTCTTACGGGGCAGCCCGATCAATCAACACGGCTATCACAGACTATACGAGCATGGGCAACGAGAGCCCAGCGCCATCCATCCATATTCCTCTCGACCTTGTAGTCGTGATTCCAGTGTCTTCTTCCATGCAAGGACTGAAGATCACGCTCCTTCGAGATGCACTAAGATTCCTCGTACAAAGCCTTGGCCCTCGCGACCGTATGGGACTGGTGACGTTTGGGTCTAGCAGTGGAGGCGTCCCAATAGTGGGAATGACCACCAAGTCTTGGGGTGGATGGCCCAAGATCCTTGAGTCCATCAGACCTGTCGGACAGAAGAGTCTTCGTGCAGATGTGGTCGAGGGTGCTAACGTGGCCATGGACTTGCTGATGCAACGAAAGTCGTCGAATCCCATCTCTACCATCCTCCTAATCAGTGATACATCCACCTCCGATCCCGATAGCGTCGATTTTGTTGTGTCCAGGGCTGAAGCTGCCAAGTAAGTTATTCTTGATCCTTGGCCCAGTGGACGATTTGCTGACGTTGCTTGCAGGGTTAACATCCACTCATTCGGCCTTGGGCTTACCCACAAACCGGACACTATTATTGAACTCTCTACTCGGACTAAAGGCTCATACGTCTACGTGAAGGACTGGATGATGCTTCGCGAGTGTGTCGCTGGTTGCTTGGGCGCACTACAAACTACCTCCCACCAGAACGTGAAGCTGAAGCTTCGTCTACCCGAGGGGTCTCCTGCCAAGTTCGTGAAAATCAGTGGAGCTCTGCATACCACAAAACGTGCTACTGGCCGTGATGCGGAGGCAGCTCTGGGAGACTTGCGCTTTGGCGACAAGCGTGACGTTCTGGTCCAGCTTGTTATTCCTCCTGACAACTCCACGCAAGACACTACGCCTCAAGATGCCTGGGAGAGCCTGGTGTCAGGACTAGAGGCACTAGGAGGTATGTCTGATGGCGATGACCAGCGTGTGGCGAGCGTTGAGGAGGTCCCCCTGATCCAGGCAGACCTGACCTATGGTGACTTCCTGCGGGAAGGCCATCTTACTCATTCTCCAAGACCGTCGCTTTTGGCAATTACTATGCTTCCACCTAACCCGAAAGCCAAACCTGGTCGCCCGTCTAGCCCACCCATCCCTCCTCATCCATCCATCGTTCAACGACGCATGGAGCTTCTGACGTCCGACATGCTGACGCGGGCCTTGACTTTGGTGTCCCGTGGCCAGCATGACCGTGCGCAACACTTGTTGACCGAGACTCGCAGTATCTTGAAAGGCCTGGGCAAGGGTGGTCTTCCCCCTCTGCCCCCGGGCGCCAGGCCAGCGGGTACCAGCGACTCCGGTAGCCGAGCAGACACTCCCACCTCTTCTTCACCCAAGTCGTCTATGTTTGACGGTCACTCGTCGGCGGCTTCGGATACGGCGACCATCACTTCTGTGTCTGCAGTCGATGGTCAGACCATAACGGCGTTGGACGCAGATCTGCAGTCGGCGCTGGAATGGATCAACCATCCTGCGGTATTCTCCAGAGACTCGCGCAAGGCTGTGTTGCAAGGCATCGGTGTAATCTCCTCGCAAAGGGCCTATACTTTCCGATCGCCGTCTGAGGCCCACTGGGCCCAGCGTGTGGCAGGTGTGCGACGCCTGACCGAACGATCCAAGGAATGGCGCGAGACTGGAGACGACGCGTTGACTGAAGAGTAAATGTGACGACTCTTCCAGCTGTTTATTTCTTTCATCTCGGATGCGGTCCAAGTCCCTCCTTCGTTTCTTCCGATTTCATCGCTTTTTCATCTTCTCGATTATGATACCACTCTGTTCACCACGACTGTGCGACATGATACCACGGTTTGATTTTTGATTATTTCCTTGTACATCTAGTGGGGCCTTATGTATATAGCAGGTCCCGGTATTAACTAATAGGCTGTTGGTATATGGGTTGGATTTGAATGATTTACGGCTCTTGGGATATGGGTGGCATTCATGATGTTTTTGTACTAGTCTACTCTCAATTCAATAATCGGGCGATGCATCTGAGTTTAATGTTTCTCCTATGCTGTAGTCAGAAACACAGTATCATTAATTATAAGACTCTTACTGACCAGTCAACTAGCCCGCGTCATAGAGACTACTGTAGTGGACTTACCCGGAGCAGCAACGTATTAGTACTCTGCACATCCACACAAGACCCAACTGATTAAGTTCCTGGATATATGAGTTAAGTACTCTTTCAATTGATACAGTAACCTATGTACCAATACTGCCACCATGATTAATCCAAGTGCTGACACTTCCTAAATAATCGCCGCCTCAGATTCAGATACAGACCCATAAGGGTGCCTGTGCGTCACCAGCACACACATATACACCTAGCCACCCAAAGTCATCTCAGACAACACACCAGTAAGTACCATAAAGCTCTTCCTTACTACCTTGATCCAAGGTCTTTTTATACTAGCCTGTCCGTAGGGTGATGTACCTGTATCCAGTTGATTACCCTCAGTGGGTCATGCCATTATTTTGTGGGCTATTGTGCGGGTGGATGAGTGGATGGGGTGGTTCGTGCTCTGGGAAGGGATGTGTTGGTATTGGATTAGATTGGTGAAGCCTAAAAAGTGTTGTGGGTAGTAGGGGAGGCGTGATTGGGAAGGGTTGATGAATGGAGTGCAAGTAGTAGAGTTGGGTGTTGGGTGGAATTAGAGTTGGGGAGGGGAAGGGTGTTGGGTATTTGTTTTAGTAGATGGAGGGGGTTGCTGGGAGTGATGATGCATAGTGGGTATAATGTTTAATGGTTTGGTTTAGATGAGAATGACTAAGGATGGATGACAAGTGGAAAAGATGAAAGGAGGAATTGGTTGGAGTATGTGAGAATACGGTTGATTGCTATTACAAATTTTTGTCGATGAGAGCATTGGGTAGAGAAACTAATATGGCCGGCCTGTGGAGGGAAACAAAATTAATTAGGTTAAGCCAGTTTGATGCTCCTATATATCTGTCTAGTGAGAAGGGGTGGTACAAGAATGGATATTGGGAGTATAATACTAGGTCTAATTCTTGACGGAGAGTGATGCATGGGTTTACGAAGAAGGCAAGTCTGCCGGTTCTAAGTTGGAGACTTTACCATAAAGAGGACTATAGCGCCCTAAGGGATAAAATTCTCTATGTCCGAGCCGAGTTCCGGACACATGAAGTCCCTGTGATGAGGGGTATGCCTGCTTACTTTGTAGATCACGACGTAGTGATGCCTCTCACATTTGCTCAATCAACCAACTCAGCAACATGAAAATGCGCCGAGTGTGCTGGCGAAAGGCAGAAACAAGGCGGCAACTCGTACTAAATATTTCCCAATGAGTTATATCATTGCAATAGTAGTTTTTGGTATTAGTGCACTAGGGAACTGCACAGGTGAAATTGCGGTTTACATGATACTGAACATGCCATAGAAGTGTGAGCTCTATATATAGATGGTCGCGAGCGACCGACCAGGGACCTGATAATACCGGGAAGCACAGGGACAGGCGCGTAGGAATTGGATTGAATGAAAAGAGACAGCAGTGCTGGTTGCTATTTAAGGAAACCAGACAAGAATAATGCTGGAGACGGAGGACGAGCGGATTTAGTGGAGCGTAAGTCTGGAGGTATAAGGTGTATTCGTGGACGGTATGATACAGTATCATACAGAATATCAACTAGATGATGTGAGTGTAGATACATACCTTATATGAGCTGGAAAGACAGGGAAGGATGACCAAGGGCGTGATAGACACAAGCACGAAATCGATAGTGTGATCTAAAATTATCATTCTTCGTGCGGGACAACTTCCCTCTGGCGGAACCCCCTGCCGACTGTGGAGACAAGAGTGAGCAATATTGGCGTAGGATATATGCGGGTGTGATGATGGCATGTGAGCATGAACTCAATGAGGTGGAAGAAACACTCATCTAGCGCAAAGCTATGGCTGGTCAATTCGCCAGCAGCGCTTGGTATGCGTGCGACGATGATACAAGAATAGAAAGAGCTAATATAGTGCTTGTTTTAAGTAATGGCTGATCAATCTTGCAAGCGAGTGAGTGAGAGGAGGGCGGGCTAGTCGGTCATAAAGCCAGCCTGTTTGGCGGAGTGTGGAGGGGCACAAGGGATATGGTGCATTAGCGAAGGGCGAGTAGCTGCTATCAGGTTAGCATAAGGGGGAATTGGATCAGCATGGTGCTTAGTCTTTGCAAAAGTATTGGCTGTAGGAACGAGCAAGCGGCGTTGTGCTGGCTTGGTATCAGTTTAAGGTGATGTAAATGAATGCGACTGTAGACGGTAGATGTTGTTGAACGGTTTTTTGTATCATTTAGAAGTCGGACTCGACTGCTCATGTTGGATGAAAAGACACACCTCTCTTATACCCTCCATGAGTTGCTGCTTCCCCAACAGTTATCCTGCCATGAGAGGGGAATGGACACTTGAGGTAGTGCTATGAAGTTGAGATAGTGTGCAGATATCCAAAAATAGCTAGGCGTGCAGGGATCCCATCTTTAGACCGGTAGCAGATCTAATCTTAGTAGTTATCTAGTACCCGCCAGGATTGCCAGTTGCCAAGAATATCTTCCCGGCGCTAAATCATTCGTCTGATTGGAAGAGCGACAACGCGAGACGTGAGGAGTGCGGGATTGAGCATATGCTCTTGTCCAGTGCTACTTCGTCTCTTAACTGGAGGGTTGATTGGTGCGCGAGAGTCATGGTCGCGTTTAAGCGCCTACCAAGACTACGCAGGAGATGCATATGTTGCTGTTTATAGCACCAGCGGGTATCCAATTGTATCACGATAGCGGTGGTTGGTGGCTTGTTTAAGCGCCGGCTTCTGGATGGTCGTAAATGGTGAATCTGATTCGCTAGACAGCTCTGGTGATGGATAGTCTGTAGGCACTGAAAGGAACCACTGAAAGCTCCTGGTCAGCAGGGAATCTCATTGCTCCACGCGCCCTTCGAAGGTGGGAGCTGACGCAAACTACCACTACTGGACGATTAGATATTGCAATTAGTCGTAGCCCTCGCAGCCCATCAAAGAAGCCATGGCTATAGTAGCGAGGTGTTAGTGCAAATTATATGCTGGCTCTACAGGCGCTCACATTCATAAGTATAAGCACCTAACGTGAGCATCTGGATTGACTCGAGCGAACGAAGACGTCCGTAGACTAGACAGACGGACCAGGCCATTTCATGTTCCTGATGCATAGAACCGAGACAAACTTCTTCATCGGCAACGACCCATACCGTCTATCGTAGCCGCTTACAGCCCGCTATCAGGGTCCAGCCATCCCCACGAAGCGCCGTCTTCAAGCTTGCAATGTAAGGGGTCGTCGATTGAAACCATGATCACAACAGACAATCTTCTCTCTTGCTCAGTGACTGGAGCACGACCCTTCCATGGTGTTTCTTGATGCTGTCGACCCTAGATAATTTTCTGCAGGCTATACCGTGCTCGTCGTTAGTGCTGCAGGAACATGTTTCGGGTCCTCCCCGTCTTCTGCCATCGTCATGACGACGACGGCTTCAACGGTGGTAGCGGAACCGCGCGCTTTGCTGTGACGAACCATGTACATGGAATTTTGAAAAGAACCGGACAAACCGCTTCTTGAAGCCTCTGGGGATAGGGGACCCTGAGATGAGACTTGATTCAGATGGCGCGCGACAATGCTGGAGATGCCGTCTGGTGTTTATGTGCGAGCAAGAAAAGGTCCCGAAAAGTCTATAAAGTCAGAGAGAAACCTTCTCTTTAATCTCTTCTTCTTCATCATCATCATCAAAAGTCAATCTTTGTCTCTTTGTATCCTTAGCTCTTTCTGTTGTCATCTTTGGGGTTAAACAGCTGGACTGTGCGCCTCCACTAGCTTGTCTTCGTTTGACACCAGGAATTTTGCCACGCCGGAACCATACCATAGCTAGCCTTCTAGGTCCGGACTGAGTGATAATCATCGACTAAGAGACACTCTTATTCGACCTTCAGATTGGGTGCCTGGAAGTAAGTAATCCGATCTCGTGCTGCTATTCTGGCGAGCTGAAGGTGCAAGGTGCTAACGCAGCTTAGGCTAAACCACTTTCGTCCTCGCGAATCTATACGGCTCCTGCGTATTGATACTGTCTGGTACAGCCATCTGTATGTTTACGCCTGAACCCCCAAGCAGGATGTATAGGATTCTCCTTGGTTCTGACTCCTCCACAGATCCTTTCTTTGCCAGCTACCCCCTAAACTTAGTTCTTTCGCTTTCTTGCCTCCGCCTAGATAAGGCTCTCCACTCTCTCCACCTGTATTCCAGGGGTTTCTGTCTACTATAAGAACCCCTCCCTCCAGGCCGATTAAACAACCCTTGAGATTCTCTCCTCAAGCTGCAACTTGCCATTGTACCTCTACATCATCTCTCATAATCCTCGAGATGGGTCCCACCAAACCAACTCTCCGTCCATTGACGACTCCTAAGAGCATGGTCTTTCCATCCGAGCTCCGCGAGCGAACCTTCACCACATGCCTTGACCCAGACAGGTCATCGTCCATCGTGGGAAAAGGAACCAGCAGCACCGAAGACAACGAGGCCTCTATCACTCCTCCACCAGCATACACAGACTTCGTGAACACCTTCAGTCCTATCTTCTCCAGTCCCACAACATCCCGTGCCAACTTCTACAAGTACATGGTCGACAAGCCTCGTCACTCCCCCACTTCCACCACCCCCTCCAGCACCACGTCGACCAACTTCCCGAGTGGCCAGCCATCGAAGAACAACAGCACCACTGCGGTCGTCCCTCATCTTACACATGGTCAACGTATGCGTCTACCACCGCCGTATGTCTGCACACCGGTGTCAGACTCCCCGAGGAGTGCACACCCCCTCCACTCTCCTTTCACCTCATCGGAGTATAGAGGTCGTCCCTTCGAGTCTCCGGTCAGTGAGGCGGGAAACTCTTTCAGTGTTCGTCATGTGGTGACCACGACCATCACGTACAAGCGGGCTCCTCAGCTTGATGCACCGCCGCTGGGCAAGAAGAGAAAGAATCTCAAGCGTCGTAACACTTGATGCTTCCATCTTGGTGCCATGTTTGACTGGATATCAAGTCAATCCTCCATATCTACCATCTACTATATCTCCTTGTGTCACGAGTGCAATGTACATGCTCCATCACGTCTAGTTTTGTCATGCTTCACTTCACGTCTTGTTATTTATGTTCATTCATCTGTTAAAGTTACCTGCAAATGGGATATGCGATACGGGAGTCGGAGTTCATGTCTATTTTCGTCACTGCTATGGTCTCTATCTCCGGAATTTTTCCATTCTATTTATGTACCCTCACACCAGTCGCAGTTAAATTAATAATCCATACAAATAACTACCAGAATATCCCAAACCCAGACCAATAGAACAGACAAGCTTTACGTCGTACCTAAACACCCAGCACCAGCACCAGCACTAGCAACACCCACGCACAAGCAGAATCCCACCCACAGAATTCCTGCAGGATCAGACTCCTTTCCACCTATCTACATACGTAGTATCATTATGCACTCAGCCACCACCACCGTCTTCCTCTCCCACGGACCAATCAAGAGGGTAAGCCGCAATCACTCCAACTCCGCTTAACGCAAACCAACATCCTTGAAATACTACTCGATAGCCGCGTGGTGGAGTCGCATTCGTCCATTCGACTTAGTAGTACCTTCTAATATAAATAGGTAGGTTGGTTTCGATTGTCTGTGTGCTGAGAAGGGTAGCCGAGGCTGAGGGTTTGCGCGGCTAATTTACATCTAACCAATTATATATAGTAGGTTGGTTGGTTGGCTAAGTAGTGGGGTGGATGAAGTACCAGGTAAGTAGTATGTGGGTTGATTAATTGTATTTTTGGTTGAGTTGGTCGTCGTGGGTGGTGTGGGTGTAGTCGGTTGGTGGGAGGGTGGTTAAGTATTGGGGGGAGGGGGTGGAAAGATAGTATTTTTCTTCGACTACAGCTGAAGGTGGTCTACTGGCCCGTTTCTTTCTGGACAGAACGCGGGACAAACTTGCATTGAAGACGGAACTAAATAGCATACTAACTAAGCAGAATATCATCAAGAATGAAGCAAGAGTTACAGGAATAAATAAATAGCAAAACCCGAACAAAACATAAACTATATATCATCAGACGTGAAGGACGTAACGAGGGACATAAGGCATTGGTCGTGGATAGATCATGATGGAAGGAGGAGTTCAAAGCAAAGAGGAACAAACACTGCAAGCGCGACAACAGGATCCAGCGAGCGTATGAGGTATATAGTGTGAATGACAAAATAGCGAGACAAAAGATAGATGACACGACTTAATCTCAAAAAGATCATTGGGCAAGAAAAGCAGAACAAACTCGAAACCAACACAGATAGAGAACAAAGCAAACGAATTAACAAACATTTCCCTCGTTAATAGCCGCCTTGCCAACTAGTGCAGTTGTCGCTTGCGCTCATAACCATCGACCAGCGAGTGGGTTAGAAGAGCTGCGGTGCTTGTGGCGAGACACGGCCCCCTACATCAGCAAGTACTCCCAGTTGTTGGCCCGCATAACTTCTCGCCAGTAGATGTAGCGCTTCTCTGGCTCTTCGCTCTCCTTCTCGTGATCTTGGTGCTCCTCACCGTGCTGCTCCTGAATCGGTGGCTCAGGACTCTGCTCCTCCTGAGCTTCTTGCTCCCCATCGTGGTGCTCATCACCTACTTCTTCGACATCCAGCGGACTCCGATGCTGCTGAATTGTTGCCTGACAGGCCTCTTCAGCTGCAACGGACTGACTAACACGGAATTTGGGAGGCCTTGTGCCGCTTCCAGGTAGAGAGGCGGTCGCGTCAGCAATCCTCCAGACCTCTGTCAGGACACGATACACCCGACCGATACTTCCGAACTTCCCTAGGCAGCCCAGGGCAGCGATTCTCTCCGACAAGATCTTCCGGAACTGACTGGGGGGAACGGAGTACAAACCCGCAATGAAAAACGGCCAGGCCAGACAGCGATCGTAACCGGTGCGACCGGTCGGAATCATCTGAATGATGTCGCCAATTCTGGTAACCCAGCTCATGACGGTGGCATCGTAGCTTTCGAAGGTCGGGAGGATGCTGTGAGCGTAGAGCCGCGCTGCCAGTCGAAAGAGCGCCGTGATCAGCGTGACCAACTTATCTGCGATGATGACTCCGTTGGAGTCGTAAGGGGCTTCGACAGGTGAGTCGGTCGCTTCGGTCCAATTGATCTGCTCGTTGAGTGCGAAGACGTGTTGATACAGATCCAGTTCTTCGAGATTGCCCTCAAGCCACAGCGATTCTAGACATGCGATCTCCGAAATGAGGTACATGATACGGTCATCGCAACCCATAACATGTTGCAGACCAGAACGGATACCTGTTACATGTCTTTGCCGATAGGTATGGGCGAACTCCGGCGTTGCCCCTAGCATCGTAGCTCCAATAATATCGATCCATGCAACGAGTGCGACGCTCAGAGAACTGGGAGGGTTGATGAGCTTCTTAATGAGAGTGGCAGCGCCTTTGAAGTGGTGGTTCCACGGGATATCATCCAAATAATCTTCTGAGGTTGCCACGAAGGAGTTGTAGAAGATCAGACCGAGTGTAGCGTCAAGGTTCTGCAGATGCCCGCTTTCCCTGTTGAGGACATTGGAGAGCTGCGAGATGGCTGCGTAGCGATGCTCCATGATGTCGTGATCCATTTGGTCGTCCAAGCCTAGGGTGTACTTGAGGTGGATAGCTGCCGCGCTGAGGCAGCATCGAAGGTACGCCCGGTTGTTTTGCATCAGGCCCAGGATCTCATTTATGTGCAAACGAGGGCCTTGCCTTGCTTCCAAGATCGGGAAGACAGTATGCAGGACGTAGCCGACAAAGTGTTGCAGAAGCGGCTGGGCATTATTGTCAACAGAGATGAGTCCCCGCACCGATTCGTAAAGAGGAAGCTGAGCATCTGTGCTATCGGAGCCTCCGTTGGCCATATTATCGAAGAAGTCCTGGTTGTAAGGCTGTGGGAGACTGAAGGGTGGACGTGCCAACTCCCTGTGAGGAAGCCGGGGCGTTGGAGGCGGCACTGAAGAAGGACCCTGCCCGCTATATTGCGGCAAAGGTGGACGAGTGAACGTCTCCGTCTGAGGAGATGGCTGGATCGACACTCGAGACACCAGCTGTAGCTGGGGAGCACCCGCAGTTGAAGTGAACGTCTGAACCTGGGGAATAATGGGCGATTGGGCAAATGTCGAGGTGGGAGGAGCTGATAATGGGGTTGGAGGAAGTGCTGGGGTCTGAGAGAAAGCCGCAGACTGGGGCAACGATGGGGTCTGCGCCAAGAAAGAGGCCTGGGGAACTGGCGAGCTCTGGGGCAAGGCTGGGGATGCTGATACAACTCCAGTGCTCAGAGCGACATCTTGCTGAACTTGGAACGGATTAGGATTGGGAGTGACCGGGGTAGGAAGAGACTGAGGAATGGTAATAGCTTGGCCCATGGACGCTGCATGACTGGAGCTCGTTCCCTCAGACTCCGGAGGCTTTGGGACGAGAGCAGAAATCCGGTCTCTATACTCTACACAAATAGTCAGAATGCATCTTTGTCAGATAAGCATCGAGCGAGTGGCACATACTTTGCAAGTTGCCCTCCTTCTCCATCACCTTCGTCTGTCGGATCCTTTCTTTGATCCTTTCCTTCTGCACCCCACGCTGCTCCTTAGTGGCCCACCACTTAGGGGTCACATAATTGCACTTCAGACCAAGCTTAGTGCATGTAGAGCAGATCGGCCGGATCTCATCACACTTCTTCCGTCGCAAGCGACAAGTGAAGCATCCTAAAGAGAGTTCCATGGTCAGTGCTTTTTGGAGCTACCCTGCTGATCTGAGACTGCATATGATGGAAGGTATCTATATGTTAAGGCCAGTCGTACCTGAACGAGATCTCTTGTATGTCTTGGTCTTCCGTTCCCCGGATGGACCAGGCTCATCAGGCAATTCCGAGTTGGCTCTCTCGGAACGACGGGTATCGTCCATGACTGGTTGGGCGGAGGTAGAAGCCATTGTGCAGCACCACCTTATCAAGCAGTCTGTAGAGTGTTCCCGAAGGGTGACGAAGAAGTCACAGGTCTTGATAGAAGGACTGTCGACTTAGATGATAGAGATTGTAAAAACAGAGATGTGAAACGATGATTATAAAGTGAAGTAACAATAGAAGACTTGAGATGTTGCACTGTGTTGAGATCCTCTCTATGCTTATCCTTGAAGTAGGATGTTGTTGTAGAAGATGATACAGAAGAGGATGGAGTTGAGACGAAGGAGGCATCGAGCTGGCCTTTATGAATCTTTTCCACCCCGGCATCTGGGACATAGAGAGGGTTGACATGGTGTCCACCGTTGCAGGTGATGCCCGGGTAGATTCTATTTTTTACCAACACCAGCGGATGACTGTGGATGGACGATGTTTCGAAGACAAGTCCGAGATGCAAACCTTGTGGGGAACGAGGACGAACGACAAATCACCATTGTCGCGAAGACCGAAAACAAAGCGCGAGAGCTAAATTGAGACCAGGTGGTGGTGGTCGAGATGGATGGTATGGCATGCACCGAAAGCCTCTGAATGTCGAGCCGATATCTGGCACAGCTCGCGTGCAGCCGGAAACTGCAAGGGTCGATCACGTTGGGCTCTTACCATGAGGTTCCTGTCAGGGTCTTGGGGAGGTTCATCATTAGCGCGAAGTTGAGAATGGCGGATAATGAGAGCGCAACATTGGTCAGTTGGATGGCATCTCCTCCGGGCTTGCCAATAGTTTGTGGACTAAGTGAGCAAAGCATTGTTGTTGTTGGTGGTGGTGTTGTATGTCCATGTTGCTATTGTTGTTCGCATATCATGGCTTGTTGCTAAGAATAGGAATCAATCTGTATAGATTCAAGTTCTCGATGCGCGGTTTTCCGAAAGCCAGATTCTTTCTATGGAAGAAGATGCATTTCTCCAGTTAGCCGGCAATAGTTAGTATGGGTAATAGTGTTATTCTCATGGCCGGTCCGGGACATAGTAACGCCCAAGTTTAATCGACCACGGCGCTTAAGGAGCATCTGAGTATGGCTATTGGCTGAAAGGATTCCATGGGCGCCAACATACATTGCCAAGCTTCAAGACTTGAAGCATGATTCGACCAGAGCCAGTCGTTGTTGACCCATCATTGCAGTGGGCGGGACTCGGCCCGTGCGGGTGATGGAGGAAGAGAAGGAAGAAGAGGAAGAAAGAGGAGGGGGAGGGGCAGAAGGAGGGGAAAGTGGGCGTGAGAAGGATTGAGAGGAAGCATTGACAACCGTTAATTAGCAGCCGGAGAGGCATCTTGGAGGGAAATGGACGCCTGTCCATTGGCCGTTGCTCGCACATCAGGTGGGGTTCTCACGAATGACTTGCTGTAATTTGCCCAGGTCTATCCTAATAATAACCTGAAGGAGCCGTCACTATCACCAACGGAAGGGACGTGCATGAAAAGCTGCAACATGCCATTGGACATGCACGCGGCTCCTCGTCGATAAGGTGGTTAACTTTGAGGTGTCGATGACGCGTTTGTTCATACATTTCTCTTCCCACCATTCCTGATTCGTACATCCTGATGTCAATTTGGTATATCGAAAAACACGCTAGTCGTGATGGTTTTCAATAGTTTCATGTACGAAGCTCCCGAGAAGAAGAATCTTGCTATTCTTAGAGTATACTGAAATAGAAGGCTTCTCAGAAGTTTGATGAAGACGCATCGAAAGAGCGCCATGATCTAGATTCAATCTATATGGAGGGAGTATACTATACTTAGAACTGTAACCAACTCATTCCTCCTCAAGAAATAGCACGCCTTTATGATTGCACTATCCCGGGACTCCTGTTCACATGCATCGAATCATATCCGCTCCACGCTCGGGTATCAAGTGTCCAGTGGACCAGCACCGGAATTGCTCTTTACATGTCATCACCATCGTCAGTGAAGTCCAGCCTCTCCTTTCCCCCCATCAAGTGATGAGGACATATGGCTGTTCGCCTCCAATAAGGGTCGCCTCTGCCGTGTCCTCCTCCGAGCACTCAGGATTTAGATCCTCTATGTCCGTTCCAACGCTGTCTCTACGGGTTCTAAGAGGCCCCGGACGCAGTTGACCGTCATTATCAAACCATTGCGCACCAAATGGGTTCTTTCGAGCTACATCAAACGCAGTGCTCCCTGCCCCGTCCTCCTCTTCACCATCAACATCGTCATCATCGTCAGACGTGGCACTGTCTGGGGTTTCAAGTGACACATCTGCCCCCGCTTCCAGAAGGATCCTGAATATTGTCTCGCGACCGCGTTCAGCTGCAAGATGAAGGGCTGCCTTGCCTTCTGAAGTCATGGCATTTATATCGGCACCCAAGTCCAGAAGAAGCTGAACCAAAGACGGTCTGGGAACAACCGCCATAACTGCAAGATGGAGTGGTGTCTCCGCGGCTCCTGATGTGGCGCGAGCATTGATATCTGCTCCACACGAGAGAAGCATCTGGATGTATTCAGCTGTTTTGTCAAAAGACAAGTCAGGTACACCTGTGCCAACGAACACTGCCTGATGTAGAGGCGTCCAGCCCTGACTAGACACTGCATTGACGTTATGTCCAAAGTCCAGGGCAAGTTTGAGAATATCGAGACAATCATCGTTGATCGGTGGTGTGATGTGGAGGAGTGTTTCACCTTTCGGAGTTTCAACATCCATCTTTGCTCCCTTGTCAAGCAGAAACAGCCACATCGCTCTGTTTCCTGCTCTGGCAGCACACTGAAGGGGGGTATACCCCTGGTGATTACGAGCTTCTATATTGGCACCTTGCTCTAGGAGCTTAGCAGCGATTGCTGTATTGGAGGAGGTTTTCGCCTGCTCGTGGAGCAGAGAATCCCCCTGTTTGTTCCATGCGTTGACATCGGCACCGCCAATGACTAATAAATCAAAGGCAACCCAATGTCTAGCATGAGCCGCGAGTTGCAGCGCTGTGAATCCGGACAAGGAGCGCGTCTCTACCTGAGCGCACCGCTGAAGAAGAAGCGAGATTGCCTCGCAATTATCAATTTTCGCTGCTAGCTGCAGCGGCGTGAACCCATTCTCGTTCATCATGTCAATGGCAGCACCTTTGTCAAGAAGGAAGAGAATGATGCGTGGTCTTCTCCATTCAACAGCAAGGTGTAAAGCGGTGTCTCCCGTGTGAATGTTACGGATGTTCACGCCTACTCGGTTTTTCACTAGCAACGGGATCGTGGATTCGTCGGATTCTGTGCCAACTGCCACCTGTAGGCCTGTAGCGCCTTTCTCGTTTGCAATTTGGGGATTGACCCGATGAGCAAAGAGCACCTTTAATACTTTGCGCTGCCCATATTGTGTGGCCAAATGCAGTGCGGTGCTTCCATCTCGTGCGACGGCGTTAACGTCGGCTCCATGTTCTAGCAGAAGACTGACCATTTCATCATTTCCACGATACGCGGCACAATGAAGTGGAGTAAACTTTAGGGTGTTGTCATGTGCATCGACATCGGCACCTTGGAGGATCAGACGGTTTGATCGAGGGATGATGCCGAAGAAAGCCAAAACATGCAGAGCGCTCCAGTCTGAAGGATAACACCCAAGGCCTAGCTCTTTAGGTATGACTCTTTCATCACTCAGATCCTTCAAAGGTGGCCGTCGCCACAGGAGCTTATTGAGAAATGTTTTTGTGAGGACCTGTATTGTTTGCTCGTCATCAGGGACTTGACGAGCATGGTCGCCCCAGTATCTCGCCGCGTAGCTGAGAAAGCCGCTACTGGCGCTACGGGGAATCGGCCCGCAATTTCGGTAGCACTCATCGACCACTTCATCTGGTGAGATGGCTGTAATACACACTTCCGTAATATCCTTCTGGGCGGTGGGGAAGAACACCCTTGCAACTGTGCCAGTGAGGTATTCCTTCGCGGTTTTGTGGACAAATCGAACAGTTCCTGTCACGGCATCCACGGTCAAGAGCCCGCCAGTCTGCACCTGCAGAGAGTGTTCGAAGGTTGAATTGTTGCTTCCGTCATCTATTGTTGAGGTTTTGGTGGCACACTTTAGCTCTGCGACCGTCAACGGTCGAAAAGCATACAATGTCCAGTATACGTAGCGAGCGGCACTCGGGTTGATGCTCACTACCTGCTTCATCGCTTCACTGTAGGCCTCAATGAGGCTCTCTGGTAAATGGACCAAAGCTCGTTCCAGAAGGTTTCGGTCCGTGTAGCGCGACAGAAGATCTAAATGTATATGCGCCAAAAGGAAACTGTAAAGCAGCGACAATCAGCCTCCCATCTACTATGACGCGGTAACTTTGGGGGAGATCTTGATACTTACACTCCATGGCACTTTTCCACAACAGTGTATACGGCCTCTTCGTACAACCGAGTGTCCGGTTCCTTTTCAAACAACCCCCTCAATCCAGCATCATTCTCGATCCGAGAGATAGCATATCTTTGAAGATCCTCTGATGATCCCAGGATGCTCACATAAGATGCGTCTCCCACTTGGGTAACTTCACGAAGGGTGACTAATAGCTGTGCATGCTCCGGGAGTTTCTGCAGTCGGCTCAGAATGCGCTCTTTATCAGAAAGTAGTTCCAGTCCATCCATGACGAACATGACTTTCGAGAAACGATTGACTTCCGCACGTATTGCGTTATGGTATTCCTTGGGCGAGGCCCTCCCTTTTGTCAAGGATTCAGAGTGGTAAAGAGACGATGTTGCATAAGAAAGACTGCGCTTGCGATATACGAGCTGAGCCAGTATGCTGCGTAAAATATCGGTGGAATTATGGTCCTTTGCATGCTCCTGCTGGATGATAACGAATACCGTGGCTACATCGGGCCCCGTGAAAGTTCTTTGCAGAGAATCGATGATAGCAGAACTGCATGTTTCTCATCAGTGTTCAATCTATCTAATTGTATGTAGCACGACTTACGAAAGAAATGTTTTTCCCGCACCAGCTATCGACATGGAAGACAGCAAGTTAGCTTACCAGTGTTTCGCTGAAGGGTATATGGAGTACTCACGCGGACCGACACAGTAAAGTGTCTTGAAAGTTCCAAGCAGCCAGCGTCTGTACTCTGTGTGATCGAAGAACCAGTTGCATGACCCTTTGAGACGTCGGTTACACAAGTCGGCGAGGCCAATAAATTGTTCAGAGCAAAGTCGACTTGTTATGCCCAGTGCATCTTCCTCGAATTGTAAATCAACCGTTGGGCCTGAGTACATTGATCAACTGCCAGCACTTAAGCCACATTTAGATGAGTACATACCGCAATCTACACCTCGAGCCAGCCGGAGTGTATATCGTATTTCTTCTTCCAAACAAGACCGTTCCCTGTGGACAGAAGTTAGCTCGAGTTTCCTTACTGACATATACTAACGGCTAGCATCAAATATCCGGGGTCATACTCTGAATCAGGCTGCATTGCTAGCAACAGGAGAATCTTATACTGCTCCAGGCGCGGTAGGAATGTTCTCTCCAACAGGTGTTTCCGGAAGTAAGCAACGCTCACTCCCCCCGGCTGAAAGTAGAGCTCGATTGATTTCATGGAGGAATTCAGCCAGGAGAGCATTTCGGCCAAAGCCACCAGACGCGATGGGTCCACGTGCCATTTCTCCTCCCCCCAACTGATCTGCTCCTTGATGCGATATAGCAAGTCCAAGATATCCGCCAGCAGGGTGAGAGCCTTTTGTGATGTTTCCTGAGAATCCCGCCCAGTGCTGAGACAGCGCATCACAATGCGAGTAGACTGAGTGACCTGAACGAGGTCCCCCCGGAGTTCTGAGACCTCGACCATATTTCTGCACCGGTACCAATTCGCTGAATGACCCCTCCTTGGCCGTAATGTAAATGTACGGGAAGCAGGGGTTGGTAGCCGCAATCAACGGAGAGTATATGAGCAAGCACAAGCGAGAGGGTGACAACAATTAAGTAAAATGCTGTGGATATATGGAAGTGGTAAACAAAAGAGGTTAAAAGAGGAAGTGTGAGTGAGAAATCAGCGAGACAAAGTAGGACTAAGCGGTTGACCCAAGCGTGCCGGGTGGGTTTTCCATGCGGAAAACAGGACGGATGCGCAGCGAATAACAATAATGGCGTCTAGCAGAAAAAGAGAAACATGCGGGTACAAACCCTTTGCGATGATATTTAGTGGAAATAGCGATCAATTACTGGAGAAAGGAAGAAGCAAATGCTCACTGGTGCCCCTCGCAAGGCAGCCCACCGACAACCGCCGAAAGCTTAGGTACAGCGACAATCCGCTGCTGGTCACACGCCCAGTGGAAGCCGTCCAAGTGGGCGCTTCTACCTATGAGAGAAGCTGGATGCTCTTTAGTAGTAGTACTACTTACTCCGTCACTGCTATTCCTACAATTATTACTAATAGTAGCTAGCCACTGTCTATTTACCAGTGTCGAAGCTAAGAGAGAGATATATAAGCCAGACAGTCAATATGCTTTTTAAGCAGCATCAACACAAGTTATACTGGGCTGAATATTCTCCCAGACATGTCTGGTCCACACTAGGGTCATGAAAGATATTACCTATCCATGTTACATGGTACCTTGCTGCCCCGTGGCCACCAAAGTGATCATCAGCCAGGACAGAACAAAGAGAAACGAAGTGAGTGGTAGTAGTAGTAACGACTAAACGGTACGGAGTTGGGAGACATGAGTCTACTACTACTGCAGGTCGCGACGAAGACAGGAATGGGCCCATGGGATCCCCACTCCAGCCCCGTCCCCATCGCAACATTCATTCGATCAACGATGATAAGAAGCGGGGGAACTGCAGGTGGAGCAGATGTGATTGCCGTGCGTGTGCTCGCATCCATCCACTCCTCGCCGAGCGTTAGCCGCCCGGCGGATCCATCCATAGTATACTTCCGTGCTCCCGCGGCCAATAATGGGCTCCACCCATCCCTGACATTGTGATAACATCGAGGATTGGCACACCACCCCCCTTGTGAGTGACTTTGCTGGCAAGTAATATGCACCCCCGCCTCATGCACTTTCACCATGTGCTCAGACCAAAAGTTGCGAGTTGCGATCCTTGGTGCGTACCTCCAGCGCGACATTGTATGGCAGAAGAGAGCCCCAGGAGAACTTGGACACGAAGAAGTGACAAAGTTTACTTCGAAGAGATCTGAATGCTCAAATATGAACAACTAAGGGGATACAACTCATACCGGTCTGCTCTTACATGTGACATAATAAGGGATAAGGTTTTCATATTGTTAGGCGTAAAGCTGTTGGGTTTGCTGAGAAGTTGATAGGTAGACTTGGTTAAGCGCCGACCTTGCTGGGTGGCGTCCAGCACGAAGGTGTCACCCGAGGAAAGGCGGGTCGGCTCCATCCACTTCCGATCGCTCAGTTCCAGTCTCAGCTGGTTTGTCTCGAGACTAACTCATAGAGGCTTTGGGAGAAACGCTACATTAAAAGTAGAGATGTGTTTCACAGTCTAGAATCATAAGTTTCTTGTTAGCTCTATTGAGCCTTGGTTGCAGTTTAAATACATAATCTGAAGGGCCAGCCTCCACAATAAGTTGAGTAATGTATAATCAGTATGGTAAGCCAGACGTGAGTCGACATCGGGGGCCATACACCCAATCTACCCGTGTTTTTTGTGCCACTGACAAATGAAATGGGGATTATTAGGTATTGGGAAGGGAGAGGCAGAGAGACAGAAAATTGGACACAGTCATGGATATAGTCGTAAAGTCGTTAAGAGTGATGAAAATGAGAACTTGAGAATGAAACCGGTAAATGCAAAACTTAAAGCAAGTAAAAGGGTATCAAAGGATGCACTGTAGCAAATGCAGTAACACCACAAGAATCTGCAGCTTGTTCGAATACATCGTTTAGATGAAATTTCCATTGTGGTTGATAGATGAACCGCTTTCGCGGCTTTTCCGCAGCGCTTTGGCAAGCATCAACTCTCTCATCCAGTCAATGCGCTCGTCCCGTGTCTTGACTGCAAAGTGATGAGCCTTGGGGCCGTTGGTAAACAAAAGCTTCTTGTCAAACGTGCTGTTTGTCGGTGATGGGATTAGAGAGAATGCAAAGGCGGCTCCTCCCTGAGTGGTGTCTTTGCGCTTCAGAACGGTTTTCTTGAAAGCCGCTGTCAGCTTTGAGTTGGATGGAAAGGACGAGCAAGCCACAGCATAATCATCCACATCGATATACTCAAGAGCCTTGGAGTCTCGGTGTGAGGTCTCTTCGTCGGGAAACATGGCTAATTGCGTGCCCCGCAGGGTGAAGTGGTGATCTTCCCAATCGTGGCGGAGAAACCGTGTCGTCTTCCGCTTTTTCATCCACCCACTGTGGGTGACGCTATTGTCACCGTTGGGAGCCTTGCAGTGTGCAGCCCGAGGGGTCCTTGCCATATCCTCGGGAGTCTCGATTGGTGGCAATGGCAACCGTTTTCCTAGGTAGGGCAGATCCTGACCATTTGAGACAAAGGCGTGTCTCCGCGAATTCTCGGGCCTAGTAGAGGCTGGTCGGAGAATTACATCCGGTACATGGTGCATGTCTCCCCCAAATCTCATATCTGGTGGAACAGACTGAGAAAAGTTCCGCGCAACAGGTCCAATGGGGATGGCAGTAATTGGGGCATCCATCTCAGACAAAGGCGTGCTTTGAGCATAGTGGGGGTCAATTCTGTAGAAGTCTGAAGGTGACACCCCCCTTTGCAAGGGCTCAAGAGATTGCTTTGAGTTTTGTCTACCAAACGGTTGCCTTCGTTGTAGGATCGAAGGGGTGATTGTGCGTTGAGCAGAGTAGTTGGGCGACAACATGGAACTAGTATCGGTGTTGAGGCTTGGGATGCGGAGCTTGGGGAGATGACGAAGATTCTCGGACAGGGTAGCATTCGCTCTTGCGGCTCCAGGCGAGCCAGCTCCAGGAGAGAGGTGATCTCCGGGGGGAGTGGCAGGATCGCAGGCTGGTTCCAGCTTACTGAGGCGCTGAAAGCTTAGGAATTGCCGTACGTTTTCCTGAGGATCACGGGGCTTCACGCCTTCGAGCTTGTCCTGGGATAGCTGCAATGCGGCAGCATGGTTATTACCCAGGGCATCTGAGGATGCAATAACAGATGGCGTTACTTCTGACTTGGGTGTCTTGACAAGATTCTGCGCGGTCGCAGGATTTCCCGGGTCACCAGTGATAAGAACCGAGCCGCCTAAGCCCTCAACCGGGAGGCCTTTGGCTAGACGTGCGAGCTTGGCCTGTTGCTTTTGCCATTTGCGGCAATTCTCGCCCTTAGAGCAAGTGTGAAGTCTTGGCAACAGCTGCTCTATGGCGACAATGGAGACCGAGTCTTCAGGAACAATATCTGTGCCCTTCTGCTGTTTTTGACGTCTGCGACGCCGATGTTGTGAAGACTTGGATCGGGACTTATCATCGTCCGTACTTGGGCTTGTGCAATCAACACCAACCTCAGCGGCAGTGGTCTGTGGGGTTGATGTGTCTTCCCTTAATGTGGGATCCAAAGTACACTGGGACTCGCACGCAACTGACGCCACCGAGGCCGCTCTGCCCCGGAGCTCCCGAATACAACCCAACAATCGGTGTCGCTTTCCAAATGACTTGATCTCCAGTTCTTTCAGATCTTCCGCTTGAAGTTCAAGAAGAATCGAGCCAGTGATGTCATTGACAAAGAGCTTTTCAACGACAGAGTCATCAAAGTTTTGCTTTCGCAGCCATGTAACGACATCCTGGGGCGTCCAATTGGCGACCTCACTCTCCTTAGGCACAGGACGGGATGTTGTCTTCTCAGGCCGTTTCTGTTCCGTTGCGACGGCAGTGACCGGTACCGGGGTGTCTTTTCTCTCGGGCTCAAGCTTGGAAGCGGCCTGGTAGAGCGGAGTTGTAGCAGTGGTAGAAATATCCTCCATGGTCAAGTCGAAGCCAAAGGACGCCTCCGAATATTCAGAGGAAACACGGAAGAGGTGTGGTCCTACAGGACCCTTGACAGGATATTCATCGAGCTGGAAATGGAATGCCGTGAGGCCGGTTGTATCGGGGGTTTTCACATCATCTGGCGTCGAAGCAGTTGTCACACTCTCCGTTCCGAGCTTACATCTATTGTTAGCCATTGGGATAATATTCTCCGGACAGCGTACTCACAGACTGGCCGCTGAGATAACGGGAAACATCTGAATAATTCTCATAAGAGTCAGACTCAAAGTCTGTGTCGAGAATTTCGGTCGTGTCGGTATCAGATACCGTAGGATCGGATAGGATGGGGAAGTAGTTCATTGTGGCACAGGGCCCAGGCGGGGAAATAGAGGAAATAGACCGTCGAAGAACGAAGAAGTTGTTGTGCTTTGGACCAGCCAAACTAATAATCAATGGAAGTTCTTCGCTATGGCAAAATGGCCCTCGGAGTCTTCTGGTCAAGTGCCTCGTCCCCTTAGGAGTGAGGCTGTTCGTTCCACTGTGGGCGGTGTGGGGACGACTGCGTGGAGGGAGAATAGATCGTTTGGAGGGTTTAGTAAAGGAGGTTGAGATAGAATATAGAATTGGCAGGGTTATCACCAGCCCTCACCAAAAACGGAAGGTTAGTTCAATGGGGTATACTTAGAGATAGGGAAGCGCGGTCAGAGGAACAGGGTGGGCGAGGGCGTATAAGTATAAGCGAGTAACTTGAAATCCCTCGTCTGGCGGTATAAAAAAAGAACATGACACGGTCGAAGAGAAGGGAGGGAGGCATGCCGTGATTGCTGGAACGAGCGATGTGACGGGTTGAGCCTGCAGGTGCATTAGGCGGAGATGACTGAAAAACCGTCGAATAGATCCCAATCATCCCGTGGTGGCATCAAGTTTCAGGCCTCTGATTTGTCGCTGTCCTGCAAGCCGGGAATATGGCGGCGCTTGGAGAGAGTCTGTCCGACGCGGTCCCGAGCTCTGATTGGCCGACATCCTGATACTGATGATCCAGAGTTTATAACGAGCATCGCTCGAGAGGACATGGCGCCCAAGGAAAGATGGGTTTGCTGGTTGACTGGCTCGAAGGATGCCCACTACTGCTGTGACGACGGTGCAGTGGGGGTGATTGTAAATGGCTTTGGTCTATCTGTCACGCAGCACACTTAGTCGGTCTCCGTTCAGCTTGACTGCTACCGGCTTCACTTGACCCTAGGAAATTAAATTTAGCTACCCCGTACCCACTGAGCGACTGATAATTCTGCGAAAATAGTATAGGCGGTTGATGGTAGTTCCAAGAATAGCCACCCTAATGTCGCAGAAAGTCGGTGACATTGCCTTGGAAGCAGAGACGGGGTACTCGGTACTTGTCAGGAATAGAGCGTTGCCCACAGTTACCCCTCACCTGAAGATGTACTGTGACAGCCACGGTGACACCCGCCGAGGAAGCTGGGGTCCCCTTCATTCTAGTCCTCATCTCAATCCGTCCGGTGGTTGCTTGCTTACTTTGCCAATTTCGACGGCAGCTTCACTGTTTGACGGATTCCACCCGCGATCACAAAATGGAGAGCCCTTTGGCTATGTCGCTTGAACTATTTGTTAAGTTATTCTCTCCCGACACTTTATCGCAGTGGACTTGTAATCTTTCACCCCTAAAAGTCCAGATGATTTAATCAAGATATGGTCTCAGTAGGCCCTAGCACTGGGCTAAGTGACAGAGTCCTCTTCATGGACCTTTCTTGCGTGTATACTTTAAATTTCAAAGTGAGGCATGTCAAGCGATGAAGTTATGCTTGGGCCCTCGGTCGATGTGATAGTGTGCCTGCACCAGTGTGATCACTGCCTTGCAGCTCCAAGGAGATGGATTGGTCGCATGTAACAACCTCAGTTATGTCAGCAAGGTCAACCTCCTGCCTCTTCTTTACCTTCTTCACCCACATCTCAACATCCCCATTATCTTTCTTCCTCTTGCCATGCTTATCCCTCCCTCGGGTGCTCTTTTTTCATTGCCGTAAGTGCATGTGAGTCTTAAAATCATATCTCGTGTTCTGGTCAACAACTAATGGCAATCGGTTTTCACCATCAACTGACCGATCTAGTCAAGAAGAACACCATCGCGGATAGTGCGTTAGAACTGAGGACGGAGAACACGAATAGTAGGAACTTACTCCTCAATACGATGTTTGCAACAGGAACAGGTCTGCTCTTCAAATTTGCTGCTAACATACCCTGTAGCAGCCATGCGAAGCGACTTGTGTGATGATGTTTAGAGGGATGTAGAAGAAAAGGTGTCTTACTGGGAGAATATACTCTATGAGTGTGGTAGAACCTTACAAGCTAGGAAGGTACAAAGCTGTCTACAAAGTTATTTTATCAGGTGACTGCGATGTCACAATCATGATGTGTAGCGATTGTTGCAGACACCTATCATCTCACCCCTATTAATGTACAACGGTGGTTCATTTCGTGGGGGAATCCCACAATAATCCTAACTGTGGCAGAGAGATAGTATCCTTGCCACCAAACAAGTAATAGAAATAATGGAATTTCGAGCAAACAGAAGCACTTCGAAATTTCTGTTGGTGAAGTCAACAGGCTTGACGTCAATGTAACTAGCTAGATACACAACCTGTTGGATAATATATATTCTACTGGTCGTTCGTATACATGACCCTGGTCCCTTGTTTAGACCAGTTGTTACTCAACAGGTTCAAGAACTAAGTTGTGCCATCTCGCACGTGTAGATCACCACATATGACATATAGTTGCACTACTATTAGCCTATCAATAAATACTATTCAATATAAGGCGGCGAAACTACTAGTGGTGACGGTTGATATGTGGGGTCAAAGGTGTAAGGCTAGCCCGAGAGCCGCTGGCCGATCCGCTGCACGCTACACATGGCTTTGATGCTCACAGCGAATATATTTTCCGCAGATGAACCGATAATTGTGCCTACTATACTTCTCCACTAGCACATACTGGTAGATAATCGGTATGTATCGATGGCCAATGCATTTTCCAGAGATGTACGGTACCATAGCCTTGGGACCAACAGCATCGCTGGAATCTGGCATCTACCGGACACCATGTTGAAATCCAACAACTACCCCTCTCATAATTACCATCTAATCCATGTCTCTAGGAACACAAAGTGGACTAAAACATATTTCCCATCACATGTGAGTTCTGATATGGCGCATCAGCGAGTATGCATGCGTTGAAAGTTGCGAGCGACAAGCAATTGGCGTGTTCATGATGTGTGTACATTGGATAGTGAACTAGATCCTCACCACTCACTGTATAGTAGATGTCTGCAAATAGGGCCAAGTCGGCGGTTACTGTTGTTAATTTTGGTTACCTTGCGCTTAATTTTGCGGGTCAGGGACCTGATGTTCCCGATATAGATCGGTGACAGATAGTGGGTAGTGTCTGCTTCAGATCTGGTTCCTAGTCTCCCATGTGCAGACAATCAATCAGCAAGCTAGCAGAGAACTATTATTAGCAAAGCGCCGCACCTAGAGGCTAAAAACAGTTACGCTTCAGAAGTCAAAACCATGGACTGGGCGGCTATCTCTGTTTCAGCTGCTTCGATATGGCATCTATGATCTATTATCAGCGACACAGAGCGTTTAAGCATTATTCTAGGTGCGGATGGCGGCGGTTAAGGGTAACTAATCAAGGATACAGGCAAAAATAGTTAGCGCTGGAGGACAACAAATGAGAAATGAAGGAAAGCGTCTCGACTACCTTCAAAGTTGCACGGGCCACAGTGGTCGTCGGCACCTGGTTGGCAGAGAATACTCGAATTGTCCCCAGCGGGCCGCTTTAGCGCCCACCAACCAACCCACCGAAGCGCCGACTTGTGACGAAGTCCTCCAATGGCAGAGGAAGAGAAGAAGCTTGGCATGCACCTTCCACTGTTCATTCACACCCTAAGCTCCCTTAACGCCGTTTCATCAGTCGCCCACTGGCATACCAAACAGGAAAAATTCCAGTCTCAGACGAATCAGGGCCAATGATTGTCGACATTTTTGAAGCGCCGAGCAGGGATTACTGGTCAGAGTGTGGGCGAAATTAGAAACATGCTGGTTTTCATGGGGGTTTCGAAAACTGCCCAGAGACGACCAACCATATTGGGAGAGTCAGGAAAAAAAGAGGGATACTGAATCCGAAGAGAGGCAGCGAAAGATGGGGATGGAAGACACTTCCATGGTTTCAAGGTACGAGGAGACGATGGTTGGCCGGGGTAGGGCCTATCAGGGCGAGGCTAGCGGGACTGCAGGCACTAAGGGTCGGCCCTAGCCAGGGACCCCGGCTCCCTAGTAAGCAATTCTCGCTGCCAACTCGACGTGATCTTCCCCATAGCACCCCTCAGGTCGACTGTCCCAAATTTAGCTCTTAGACGCCGGCCATTCGTCGCCTGCATCAGATCTTCCCCGCCTGCAGTTCGCATGTTGGTTCGGTGCTCATGCATCCCCAATTAGCTCTACCGCCCTCGTCGTCAAAAAATAGAAGCAACCATAGCATGACACTTTATCGCGGAACTAGACCTGGAGTCTTCATCTCGAAAGATATTAAGGCATCATGTCCGGCACCAGTTCGTTCGATTTCAATCCATCCAAACAACAACAATTCTCTTCAATCATCATCACCATTGCTGTACAAGATAAAAAACTTCCACCTTGACCTTCGCGAACTTTGATCTTCTTGCCGCATACTAAGAGATCTTCCTTCCTCCCCGCCCCCGCCAAGCATCATCGAAGTCTCCGACAGGCACCATGTCAAGCGCAGTCGCATCTAGCTCGGGTTCGGGAAGATCGTGTGGGGTTGCCATTCCGCAGGGGTCTAATGACAGGATAGTCCGGCAGTACAAGCGTTCGCGTGAGGGTCTGTTACAGATATCATGCCATGTCTTGGTCGCGTTCAAGTCAGTCAACTGACCTACCAAACTTCAAACAGGATGCTTCACTTGTCGACTACGAAGGAAGAAGTGTGATGAGAATCACCCACGATGTAACTCGTGCACCAGTCTCGATATCACCTGTGACTATGATGAACCGCCGTGGTGGAGGAGCCTAGCAGCGCGGGACATACACAAAGAGCGGATCAAGAGGCAGATAAGGCACTCGAAGGTCATTGCGAGACAGAAGAACCTTCAAGGTTGGTAATCATGGCTGCGGAAGATCTATTGAACAGTGTTCCTCATACCTTGACAATAGCCTTCGTCAACCGCAACTTCTCAGGCCCGAAGAGAAAGCGTGCACGCTCCCGCTCCCTGTCCGTCGACACAAGCTCATCTGGCGAATACACACCATACCTGAATGTTCCTGCGCAACCCCAATTCGAATCGGCTATTGACGAGGGGCAGAATCCCTGGCAGCACCCTATATCGTCCACTTCGTACAGTACCCTCATGGGTGGCCAACGGCTACCTGGACAACTACCACTACCAGAGATGTCAAATCCTTTGACGCAGCAGTTCTCGCTTCCAGGATCCACCCAGCACGTCTACCAGCAACTGCCTCTAGAATCACCACAGCAATGGCTGGGACAGCCGTTGCAGACCCCGACCTTTCCTGTACTACAGCCGTTCCCGGAGCCCGTCACACAGCCGTTCCCTCCGCTTGAGCCGCAGCTATTCCAGGAGTCTTCAACGCAACAATTTCTTCAGCAGATTCCACAGGAACTACCACAGCAGGTCTCGGAACAATATCCAGGGCAGCAGTACCGACCCCTACTACCTGCCCCAAGCTCTGCCCAGCCTGGTAACCTCACTGAGAGCTCTGGTTCCCAGAAGACTACCGGATTGGAGAATACCCTTGCGTCTCAGAAACCGCTATCCGAATATCTAGAGACGATAACCGTGAAAGCCGCCGAAAAGCCACTACTCCATCACTTCGTTGACAATGTTCTGAAGCTCATTTTCCCCATTCTAGACCTCCACCCACAGATGGCTCCCAGGTCGCAAGAGATTCTGCAATCGCTCGAGACCAACAAACCCTTTTTCCACTGCAGCCTCAGCGTTTCCGCCCTCCACATCAAGACAGTAAAGGCCAGCACGAGCTTCCGCACGGAAGCGAAAATCATCGACGATATCATGCGACATCGCTACGCCTCGGTTTCGGACCTCTGTGACGCATTGAATGCCGACGAACATCAGAAGGTTTTGGACGCAACACTCGCGACGATACTATTCCACTGCGCTGTGGGCGAGCCCGAGGATTACCTGCCCGATATCCCATGGTTTGAGCACTTCAGACCAGTCGCAGACCTTGTGCACCAACTCGGCTTAATCGAACCGGCGCCCTTTACGCCCCTCCCCTTCAGCATGTCACTCACTACGTGGATCGATATCCTTGGAGCCACCATGCTCGGCAGATCACCCCAATTCTCTCATGTCTATCGCGCCAAGCACTCAGATGGAATCTCCTCGGGTATGAGGGATCTAATGGGATGCGACGACAGTGTGATGTACCTCATTGCGGAGATTGGGTGCCTTGAATCTCTCAAGCTAAACGGCCTTGATGAAGACGCGCTACAATTCCACATCTCGGCACTTACATCACAGCTTGACAACACCGATACCGAAGCAACGGCAAACCCATGCTCCCGGTACGGCATCATCTGTCCGGAGAAGCTGACAGCAAACATAACCGCTGTATTCCGCGCCGCCGCCCGAGTCTACCTCAGCACTCTCGCCCCGGGCTTCGAACGCAGCAATCCCAGCGTATCCACCCTCGTCCAAGGAGTTGTGGAAGCCCTTTGTTCCGTACCGATGGGGCCCCACGGATACGACCGCTCACTCGTTTGGCCTCTACTAATGGCAGGGGTCTGCTCCACTCCTGACAGCGAATTCCGCAAGATCCTCGCCCGCCGAGCAAGCGAGCTAGATGATGGAGGTGAATACGGCAGCTTCGGCCGAATGTACCGCGTGCTGAAGGAGACCTGGAAGCTTGCAGACGACCCCACCACTTCTGTTTACGATGAGGCCAACTACATGTTGCCCTCGATGAATACGATGCTGGAGGGACTAGATAACGTGCCACCGCCCACGATAGGGACTATCGGTCGGCCCATCAAGAAGCAGGCTGTCCACTGGCGTAGCGTTATGTTCCGCCACGGTTGGCACTGGCTTCTTCTGTAAGCGTGTTCAACACATGCATGCAATCGGGCACGAAGAGGAAGACTGTAACAAACAGGAAGTTGGGGAGGAAACAAAAGAATTGTGATTACCAAACATGTATGTTGCACATCTTTCAGCCTATGAATTCTTCAACGGGTCTCCCTCGAAACTGACGCATATGCAGAGATGCTGCGGCAAGGCTGAGGGTGTTTCTGCAACTGCATGGCGCGAATGTGATAGGAGTTCAGGCGCAAGCGGCTAACGTCCGACTGTTGGACTCGTGGGAGGTGTTCTGCCCCCCTCATGTGATGCTCAATTTTTTTGAACATATCATTTGTTTACTGTAATTGTTATTTGGCGTGTTGGTTGGCTTTCTGCTTATTTTCACCTCCGTGGTTTTTGGACTTTTCGAATCTCTTCTTGCCCACGTCCCCCCGGCGCTGGTTATTTCCCCGCTTTGCCTGTTGGTGAGTGCTGCCCCTCACTAGCTGGCGCACGCTGCAGACAGCGCAACTTTCCATTTACCAACCCAACACTACTGACTGGATGGGTTTTGACTTTTCTTCTTTTCTTTTCTTTCAGCTTTTTTTTTTTTTTTTTTTTTTTTTTTTTTTTTTTTTTTTTTTTTTTTTTTTTTTTTTTCTTTTCTTTTTTTTTTTTTTGGTCAATTGAGCTTTTCCCGTTCTTCTTTTCCCTGGTTCAATTCTTCTTTTCCTTATTGATTTTTCGCACATACGCTCTTCCTTCACTCCTTCTCGCCTGCGTATTCGGTCTTTTGTTCTGTGGCTTTTCATTCTCTCGTAACGTTATGCTTGACTTGCTCTCCTGCTGTGTGTAGTCTGTTTTAGGCCTCCTTGATGTTCATGGTTTCACGTCCTCACCTTACGTTGCTGTCGTCTTCCGTTCCGGTGGTTCAGTCTAGTTTAGTTCGAGCAATGCGAGTTCAGTTCTGTTTGATTTCTTAGTGTCGCTTTCCAAATATTTTAGAGGTGACTGTCATATATGCAGAGTGCATTTCAGAATAGAAAGTTTAGTACATACCTCTCACCCGATTTAACAGTAGACTGACCTTAGCATGTTAGCACATTCATCCAGTGAATCTTTGTGTTGCCGATGGTTCCATATGCCTATTACGACCTTGTCAGTTCGACCAACAAGCAATAACTCCGGTTTGAATTCGGGGTCTCCTTGATAAGGCCTCGCATGGCTATCTGAGCATAGTAACAAGGCCTTTCGGTGGCTCCCAAGCGCACATTTGGGATTAGACATAAAGGACAGCGTTCTTGATCGACAAGTGACGAAACCCGATGTCGCTGACGTCCACTGGCCGTTGTGATTTGCGGAGTTCAACGTCCGGGACGTACTTTGCCAGAGCCAGGCTGATTAATGTGGATGGAGTGCGATATCGAAACAAATGATTTTCAGCCCGTTGGCCGTATCGAAGTGAGACCGAAGATTGCCGTTGCGCAAGCCGATTTACGAAGGAGCTTTGACTGGATGTAATCGTCTTTGTAGGACTCGTTGTAAGGTGTCGAGGTGATCAAGTCCGTGGTGACTTGATGGGCTTGGACTTCATTATCCCCCTCATTTTGGCAAGCGTGTACGCCATCCCCGTAGATCGCAGTATTCTGTAGGCCCAATTTTGACTCACAAAACGACTGTCTATAAATGGAAATATCAGGAAGGTCGATCCTTAAAAAGGGTGTCTGTTATGATGTACCACAGTGGGCGAGCATCGTTGCGCTTCATGATGCGGCCGATAGCATGTGCGTGGTTGAGTATTATGGTGTGATCGAGACATTCATGCGAAAGATTATACTTAGTAAGGAAATAGGAAGTGCGGGTTAATGCATAGGATGAACGATACCCGAGGCATCTGTATTCCTTCCAAGAAAGTTGAAAGCAGAATCCAGCCATGACACCTTTTTCCACCGAAACCCTGTATGGAGCTGACGCAGGCATGGATGTAGAGACGAACGGTATCTTCGAGCGGTGGCTCTATTCCCAGGAGACATGCCCAGAATTGGGCACACTGCGAGCTTTCGTGTACTTTGAAACATAGGCCAGCGATAGCAGTACGGGTTGGCAAGAGGATAAGTGCTGTTAATGTCTCCAAGGTTTCAATGCCATCGCATGCCAACTTTGATCATCACAGAGCCTAGAGTGCAGAGTGTATACGGTCATGTTCGAACACGAGGGCGCCTTATGTGCCCACGTAGAAGACTGGCATAGCCTTAGCCATGTGATATGCCCCACATTTCCTTACCATGTTCTTCCATGGCTCTATCTCCCATCATGGTAGAGTACTTTGGTTTCGCATTGAACAACATCTCTCACGCACAATCAACATCATGAGCGACGAACGGTACCCTCGCGTGGTTTGAATAGGAACGATAATGTTCGTCTGGGTTAACCAAAAAAGCACAAACGCAGCATACAACACATCCATATATGTCCACGTTCCATCCAGATTGATATTTCCGAGACCTTGTAAGAGGTCCGAGCTGGGGAAGTCGAATATCGGGGATGTAGACGTGAGCCGCCGCTCCGAGAGCGAGAGCGCGAGAGCGCGAGGATCCGTGATATATCCGACGAAATTATCCTCATCCCCGAGGCCATCAACTTTCGACAACTGGATGCTAAACAAGCCGTCGAGCTGACAGAAACGAGACAATGTCTAAGGATCGAAGCCCAAAAGACATAGCCAGATACGCCAGGCAATAAACGCAATGCTTTGTCGTAAACCTGACGTTCTGCGGTGAGCGTCTGGGCCAGGCTAGAACCGGCTAGGCAAGAAGTGGACGACGAGAATCGAAAAAGATACATAGGTGTCACCGTGAAACTATCCCAATTTCTCCCATCCATGCATCTCAGCTTCCTGGATACCCAAGGATGTTCGAAGCAAAACACCGATGTCCCATGAAGCTCCTCATGTCTCTGACAGCCTTTCATGCGGGATAAGAACTAGAAATAAGAATGGGGTGGATATGCTTCCTGATTGAAGGCTGATTTGTAAGTTTATCAATTGTAGTTCTGCCGTTCGCGAATGGATTTGGCTGCTGTTATGACTCCTTCGAGGTAGCGCAGGACCATGAAAGGATATAGACTGTCTCCGCGGAGATGGCCTCGATAGGAGAAAGCGAGTGGATTGAAAGCTTTTGTTCCCAGTATGTTCCTTCCATGTAACTCTGGCCAGCAGTCCGTTGAGCAGGTAGCGTTTAGCAGGACATGTTTAGAAAGATTTGTCCACATTCCCCAAGCCCAGGTGTTGAATGACGGGTCTCGTATCAATGTCGCGGGTTCACATTTGCTCCATAACTCGAGGCATCAATGAGTGAAACCTGACAGTGTCAGGCAATATGTTGCAAACATATCATGATACTCATAGCGGTGTTCCCATGCGTGAATATTCAGTAAGATACCAACGGCATTCGGGTCCAGCAAAGACCATGAGAGAAGATGAATGTGTCCGGCGAATTCTCCACGCAGCCTAAGGCCTCCAGCACAATTTATTAACAGGCCAAGCTTCTGGAGCTGTCAATGTGTCACAAAATGGCTCCTCTCTTTTCATGTGGCCAACATGAAGCTAAGCCTGGGCGGTAGCAGCGGTTAGTAAGGGAGCCGTATCCTGTGTGGAATATTGCTTGCACGTCTTCAAGCGTAAAACTCGAGCCCGAGGACACCGTTGGAGTAGACCTGAAGCTTAAGGTGGCTTAGCTGGTTGTTGAACAGGACGCTCATGACCGTAGCTGAGAAGTCGGACGACCAACACCTGGAGTTCTCAACATCGGAGGCAGCTATAGCACGGATGAAAAGGGACATACCAAACGCAGTATCCGCATTATGTGTAATCTTCGTTGGCCCCACTCCCGCGCGAATCTTTCATGTCGGCTTTGTTCTGCTCCAACACGGCATGTCATCCTTTTATGTACAGCACTTCAGTCGGCCTCTGCGCTGCATACATTGTCATTTATACTCGCTGTCACCAATGACCCTAGATGAACCAGACACTGCACACCATACCCTGCCAGCTTCATATAATCAGGACCGACCGACAAAACGGCAACGCCAACGTAGATAGGTCTGGGTCCGGGGTTCCAGTAGCGGTTGCAGATTCGAAAGAAAGTGATGATCAAGTCACCGGTGGTTGCTGATTGCCAAATTATGTCCCGAAAATCCCTGAAAATATTTCGTTGCAAGGGCGACATACGGTCTCTGATATATGGCACAGTTTTATCAGCGAGACGTTGAAGGATTATGACAAGCTAACCAGGTAAACACAAAATGAAAGATAATCTCAAAACTTACCATGTAAAATTGCATTTCTCTGATGGAGCTTAGTGAACTAATCAGCTATTGAAGCAATTAGGTCAGTGTGGGCGAGTAAAAGGCGAAGCAAATGAGGAACCGATAAGGTAGGTCAAGCTGCAGTGGCTTGTAACACAATGAAGACTCCCTACCGAGTGTTCTCCAGGTAATAGAAGGCTCCGCTCTTCGCAGAATAGCTGAAAAAAAATGTACCCAGGCAAACAGTATGGAGCGTTCAAACTGTTCGAGTCTCTGTGTCGAGCCAAATAGTCCAGTGCAAACCTAATGGAATGAATCTCACTAGTAACAACCAAGTCGCTGTCGTGTGCGCATTGATAGCTTACAACCAGTGTCGCCTGTCACGGCTACCCATACCCGCTGATATGTATGAAGCGAGGAACTGAGACAGGAGCCTCCCAAAGAAGCGGCGATCTTGAAGCACCAGGGTCTCTCGCGCTGGATTCGGGCTCCACGGTGTAGCAGGAAGCGTGTCGCCGACGCCTTGGACTAGACACTTGGTATCGCGCGCCTAGTGTTGACAAACCCGACGGCCAGAGAAGCCAAAGCTAAGGTATCTGGCCAGGATAGTAACTCACTCGAATGGGACATGTCAGGTTTGAGACAGGCTGGGCGAATACAGTTCAACGAGATAGTGAGCGATAACACTACCAAGCGAAATGACTGCGATGAGCTTTTGCTTGCACTCCAGAGAA